CTCGCCCTGCGCCATCTCCTGACGCCTACAAGAGCTCTCGCCGAGTGGTGTCCCGTCCTCGGACTCCTGCGACCGTGTCCATCTTTCCTATCTTACTTCCGTGTGTCGCTGTCCCTGCGCCTCGCTTTCTCCTTCCTCTCTCTCTCTCTATACCTTTTAATCCCATCTTTTAATCTATCCTTACCCCCACCCCTTGTGAGCTACTGTTGAGTTGTCCTCCCCATGAGAGACAGTTACGGGGCCCACTTTTCTTTTGATTTAAAATACCTCCCACCCCAAAGGCTCGTTTATCGTTATCCGCTAACCTACACAATCGTCTTGACCTCACGGATTAGTCAGCCTGGGTGAATGAAATACTGGTTACGGTGTTCACCAGAAGGTCGTGGGTTCGATTCCGGCCGTGGCGGTAGCATGCCGAATGGAGGCGATATGCCATGGGCCCGTGTAACTGTGCGATGTCCGTGCCCGTCCAGGAACACCAGGTGATCGAAATTTCCTGAGCCCGCTAATACGGCACGCTTTGTTATAATATCGCGGTTCCTGCATGTAAAATTCCGGGCATTCCGATATAGATCTCGTGCAGTCGCTTGCTACGTACTTTATTATCCCCGATAATGTCAAAGCAAGCGGTATAAACCCAACGGTATAAATGCCGTATCGAAGCAGATGACATAAACCCGTGTGTACCTTCATTAGATACCGCGTCTTATCGTTCAACTTATATACAGTTGAAGCATGCTCGATGCGCTAAAAAACAAAAACAAAAGAGGAAAGGCTGACGTGAAACCACGTGACAGAGATTCATTACGAAGCGGTGCGGCCGCTCGGCCTCTGTTCTCAAAACCAAATATCTCTTTCGCCCGGTCCAACCACTCCCACGAATGAAACAGCATATAACGCCCTCCCTCCCCTCCCTATCTCTCTCTCAATCGGAGAAAGCTCTGACCGCCTTTTCCGCCGCAACCATGAAGGAAGCCGCTCCGTGTGGTGAGTCTAGGAAGGCGTGTACAATACAGCAGGTACACATCTACTCCCCCACACCAGCACCATCGTACATCTACCGAAGGCTTTACCGTTTGAGCCTTCGATCTCAAAAGAGCCCGGCCAAGTGAGTTAAAGAGGCTAGAATGAGAGAGAGAGAATGGCTATCGCCCGCTTCGAATAGACGCAAAGTGGATAAACGACTAGCTGCTCGGATCGTTTTTTTCCTTCCTTTTCCTCCCCATCCAGGCAGCTCAACAATCGCGCATTGTTCGCGACTCGCCGGACGCCTTGTGTGGGTCAGCGATACGTCTCGGCTGTGTTGCGTGTGTCTATAGTTTTGTACCGTTGCTTCGCGAGGAGAGACGACGGCTGGGCTGGCGCTTTTCCTCCGTGGGAAAAAAGAGAGGAAAACGGACACCGGCCGGCTCGAATAGGATGGGACTGGAATGCTCGCCGCGTTTATGCCCGTTCGGTTTCTCGCTTGGCTTGTCCGCGTCGACGCCGGGCTTTTCGCTTTCTGCGTGTCGGCATAGCCTGCATAGCAGTTGCGTGGTCAGTCGTCCTGGTCTCGATGCTGTGTAGGCGTAGCGTTGCGGCCACTGACCATTTAAAATGCGACCGCGCCCTGCGGGTTCTTTAATAGGTCGTGTGAAGTTCGAAATCAGTGTCGTAGACTAGAAAATGCCCTGCTGCGGTGGGCTGTATAGTGGCTAAGGTATTCGGTTGTTGACCCGCAGGTCGCGGGATCGAATCCCGGCTGCAGCGGCTGCATTTCCGATGGAGGCGGAAACGTTGTAGGCCCGTGTGCTCAGATTAGGGTGCACGTTAAAGAACCCCAGGTGGTGAACATTTCCGGAGTTTTCCACTGCGGTGTCTCTCATAATCATATCGTTGTTTTAGGATGTTAAGTCCCTAAATTCTAATCATGGGACTAGAAAATGCTGTTCCCTTTTAGAAAGCGATTGCGTTCATTATTCGAGTTACATCGGACACGCCATGTTTGGATTCCGGTTGTGTTCTCGTACACGGTTAGTTCACCGGTTCCCCGCGCGAGTGCGAATGGTGGTGGAGTGTGTATTACTCCACGAATCTCGCGGTGCACTCGGGTTTCAAGCGAATTCGTGCAGTCGACACCGTATTGCGTTGGTGTGTGAAAAGCAGCGAGCTGCTGGAAGCATTTATATGCTAAATCGGAACGAGCAGGTGATTCGGGTGGAGACAAGTTAACAAGGAAACACGCCAATATGTATACGAATGCACACCTGTGTAAGGTCATGGAACTCGCTTGTGCCTAACCGTATCGTCTAACTTATTCCATTGTTTGTTTACTGATTTTATTACTTGCATAGCGTTCGTTGCCATGGTTACAACTGGTTTTGCATTTGTGTTGGCGTAGCATTGCGGCCACTGACCATTTGAGGAGTGATCACCTTATAACATATCGGGGGGGGGGGGGGGGGGGCGTCCTCGCATTTAGCGTCGCATTGCTCTATACCCAACTTACCGTCCTTGAATAAACTTTACCTCAACGAAATAGCTTAATCCAGCCAAGCGCGAACAATGCCACGTCCTTCGCCGCCGGTCCGGCGTCGATTCGCATATGTACGTTCCCAGAAGACATGCGTGTTGTTTACCCCCCGCCGTCTTTTAAAGCCGCGGCATACGTTCAGACGCGGCCGACATCCGCGTATGAGAGTACGTGCGTGTAATACCAGACATCGGTTGGCTTTGTCCCACTTTTTCCCGCATAAGCAAAATTGGTGTCCGCGCACTCGTTTGATCGATGGCATCGCGCGAAGGCACCTCGCGTTCAATTTTCTTTTTTTGTTTTTGTTTTTTGCGCGCACAACATACAATTGTCTCGTCGTTTCGCCGCGCCGTTTAGTCGTGTCAAGGTGTGTCTATCCTTTACCGAACATGTGCCGCACGCACGCTATTCCGTGTAGCGTTCTCTTCTCACGCAAAGGCAACTCGTGCCTTGTGTTTAAGTTATCACTCTTTCGCATCTACCTATAAGCGTCGACGACGGCGTTCCCGTCTCAGCGCATCCGCGTCGTAATGCCTCGTACTATGCGTTTTAAACGTCGTCCGACTGTCGGTGCGCACTATGAGTGACGCTGACGTACCGATTCGGTACACGTACGTAACTCGTACTTGTTGTGCAGATCTTACGGGAGGGACCGAAATACGAGACTATGGGGAGCAGTGTAACGCGTGGATCAGTAGTTGCCATCGTTCACTTCGGGATTCGATGTCAGTGGGGCCCCCAAAGCGTCTTGCACCAGGAGATGATCGCCGGTCTAGAATTAGCCTGTTCAGACGTCTGCCCCGCGTTTTTTTTTTTTTTTTGTGCTATTCACTCCGCATTCGTGACGTCAGAAAGTTGCTTTGTAGGTCGAATGAGACTTCCGTGTATGTCATTACGCCCGTGCTACATCTGTTGCTTCTGACGCCGCCTGGTGGCTTTTGGAAAATATGCCACGTCACTACCGCGAAGCCTCGGTCCTCGGCGCGAAACACTGACATGCCCACAGCATAAGAGTATAAGTGGAGTATAAATGGATGGTAAACTTAGTATAAGTTCTGTTTCAAAGAGGTGTTTTTCTTGGAGTCTTGGCTTTGTGCCTTCTTCCACACCTTTGCCTTGAAGAACGTCATTTACGGCTGCTAATGACGCATCTAAAGTAGATATATTGTCTGTTCCTCGCAGCTGTGTGACAGGCCGTGGATTCGCCGACCCGTGCATGCTTGTTTTTGAAACATCTTGATAATTTTTATCGTTCTTCACAACTGACATTACTGCATGAAGTTTAGTGTCATAATGGTATTTTAGTATTTTATCTGAAATGTAGTACAAAGTGTCTGTTGTATAAGGTCACGTCTTTTTTTTTGGGGGGGGGGGGGGAAGAATGACAGTTACGTTGGTAACGCTCATGAGAGACACATCTGGAAAAATATATGCATCGAGCGCATTGCGAAGGCCTGATGTCGCAAAACCTGTTTTGTTTTTGGCGATATCTTCGTAGATTCAGGCTTAACAATTGTTTCTCTAGTTTCTAGATTCTTTGTTTGTTCTGTTCACAATGCGTAACTTCGTTAAGTGGTTTGAGTATCAGATGTTCTGTTTTTTTTTTCTTGGCGAATGCTTGTTGGTTAACACGCAAACTGGGCGGAACGAGAGTGGCTCATGGTAATGAGACTACAGTGTAACAGTAAATTATTCCGACGTTTATGAATGTTCACCAAGTCAACGCAGGCAGAAGAGAAAAAAAAAATCGGGATCCCTGAACGCAGCATTTTAGTCTAACCTTACTTCAGAAAACGCCTAGTTTTCTAGACTAAAAGTGTGCATAAAGTTAACCGGATGACAGAACGTCGTGACCTGCTGAGTCCGCGTAGTTAAGTGCTTACATGTATAGCAAGCCTTCATCAGCTTGGCTTGTATGGTACGTGCTTTTTTTGTCTTTAGTTTTTTGTTTTGTTTAATTATGAACCAACCGTTGTGTTGCAGGTCGGCTTGTGACCAGAATCATGGATCATTAATTCATGAAGACCGCTTTCTCACTGTTGCCCACATAATTTGAGAACTTGTAAACTATTGTAAACCATCGTCACGCAGCTAGAAATTGTGGCGTTTAAAGTTCCATGACATGGAAACTAAGCGAAACTGAAGCCAACGCTGAAAACGGAACACTGAACTTTTATAACTGAAAAGTGGTGCGACTTTCTGGGGAGCTATGCGTTTATTTATTATTTAAATTATCTCGTTCGAAACTCCAACCTCCCCGCTGCGAATTTCGAGCACACAATAGGCAACGTGTTCGCGGCGCTAATGATCAGGCTTAAGCGTGTGCCCACTCTCTTGGTCCCGACCGAGCGCTCCCAGTGTGGTTCATTTTATTCTGTCGCGGCGGTGTGTGCACTTTTTTTGTGCAGAATGCTTCGCCAACGTGTCTCGTTGTTGCTTTTTGCGATCCGTTTGTTTATTATTTCTTTGTTTGTTTGTTTTGTTTCAGTTTCCCTACCCAACTATTCAATAAGGCCACCCCAGTTGGGCAGAGGTAAAGACCCCGACGGTTTTATTATTTCTCTGATTTTTTACGCTTTTTCCGCTATTTTCTTTCTCTCCCATCCTTTGGAACTAACGACTACGCCCACTTCCTATTTCCGTTCTGCCGGCATGACAGGCGTTTGTGTGTGTTGTAACCGACTGCGCGCGCTAACAGCAAGTTTTACGAGCTTGGGCTTCAGGCATCGCTTTTGCTGCTGCTTCTGCTGGTGCTGACGTGCTTGTGTCTTGGGATGTCGCACTCATTTGCATGCTTACCGCGTTTTATTTGGAACTTGTTCTACGCCCCAAAGCGTGCAGATGGCAACTGGCTGCCATCCCGGTGTGCAGTTTGGTCTGGTCATTCACGAGAGCGCGAAAAACCTGGTGTTTCGGTAAGCACGGATGTTGTAGTTAGTGTATAGGCTTTATTTGGAGAGCCACCTCAAGGTAGCATATATTCTATAACGTTAGCAGTAACTCTAGGCTATAACATTTAGTGTATACCTGTATGTTCGCTCGTGAAAATCCGCCATCGCACCACACTGGTGTTCCTGCTTCTCTGCGCAGTAGTAGCAGATAGAACTCCGTTCGATTGACACTCTGTTGTTCATTTATTTATATTTTTGTAACTTCCCACACGTAAAATCGAGAGCGACAAGAAACAGACAGCGCGGCACGTGCCGCAGCCAAAGCCATCGCGCACCTTTATACTTTTCTTTCCCACCGCCAGGGGCCGCCGCTGGCGCCGCCCGTTCGCGCACTCTTGTGGCGGAGTGTGGTGACAACGCTGGCGGGTGCGCGCGCTGCGATGCGCCTGAAGTTTCCTAATGACTTGAACAATTAGCGAAAACGCCGCGCTTCTCACGCCTACGCGTTGTTGTGCCGTACAGGCACCCCCCTCCTCCTCCTTTTTTTTTTTATCCCGTCGCAAGTCGATGCCGCTGTCGCCTGTTCATGTTGATACCGCGGCGTTGCTTCTGCTCTTGACGGTAGTGGCGCTGACGTTAGGTGCGCTAGCCCGTCATGTGCGATTCAAACGACGCGAGGATCGGGTGAGCGTGTGTACCGGGGCTTTACACGCGTCGTGTACATCTTTTTGCGATTCGTGTGGTAGAGCTTCTTTGTGTACTTATTTTTCCGCGCACCGTCGTTACTAGAGCTCCGCCTGTTGTAGCAGGGCCGCGCGCCGTATCCAGTGACACTGTGCGACCTGCTTTTGGAGGCGTTAGCAGGAAAAGCGGACAGCGAGAGAAAAAAAAAAACGAAACTGTGAGGAACAAGTTTCCGAAGAAGCATAAACACGCGCGCGCGCTCGACAGTGCATCGCGCTGTGTAACACCGAAAGGTGACACGAAGTTTTATCGCGGCAATTATCTCTGCGCGGGAGACCTTATCAAGTGTGCGCGTAACATGCGCGCTTGTTTCATATTAGAGCGGGAGTACGATGTTTAATCACCGGGAAGGTTTAGTGGCGTAAGACAAGTGAGGCTGTTGTTATAAACAAACGCTCGCAGTTACAGACAATGACGGGATGGCGAACTTGCCTCGGCGTACGTATAGAACTCGGTTCGTAGGGGCAGTGATTGCGGTAACGCATGTATCGCCGTGGAAAAATGGAGAGGTTTGCCGTTAACATGCGTGCTATGATAATGCAAGATAAACTGTTCATACTGGCAGTGCAGTTGCGATTGCTGTGGCTGCGCTTACAAGTTTCTAAGTTCCCGCCCTTAGTGAGCAAGTGCGCCCCCTGCAGGGAAGGAAAAGAGGTGGCGGGGTTTCCGGTTTCTCTCCACCCCCCACCCCCCTCCCAATCATCCGAAGAGAAACATATTCAAGACGCAACGCTAGGAGTTCCAATCTCGTTGTCCCTCCGCAGGAAATTTCTTCTAGATCGGTGCCGTCCTCCGCAAAAAAAAAAAAAAAAAAAGAAAACTAGTACCGCCTTTGTTGGTGAGCCGGAATGCCGCCGACAACCGAAACCAAAAGCTGGGACTTAGTGACAAAAGTGCCATATACAGCAAGCGAGGTACCGGCAGCCCTGACTGTGTGAATGCAGTATACTTGTACACGTAACCGGTCCGGGCTTTTCATTCAAATCTTGTGACAGCGCTAGTTCTTTTTGTTTGTTTTTTTAAATGAAGGCGCCGTATTCAGTGCAGCTTTCGTTGAACATGCATTAAGTGATGTGTACATTAAGGCTATTTACGAAGGTGTTCTGTAAGATCGTGATCATGCCGACAGGAGAGCTAGATCGAGAAAGCGCATAAGGAGAAAGAAAAGACAGCACAAGTAAAAGCTTTTCGAATGTTTGCGGATGTGCGTATACGCTGTACGACAGCGTTGGCATGCACGAACGCACGGGGTCATCAACCGTAGCTGCACGTCCTAGGCAGGGCAGGAGTCCGCACGACTTTATGGAGGGCTTAGCCCACGTGACTACAGCGCCCTGGTGTGGTATGGCGTTACGTCTCCTCCGCAGGTCACGAATCGGGTGTACGTATCCGTTCTAAATTAATGCTGGTGGGGTCTTCGCGGGATGTCCCACGGACATACTTCACACGCGCATGAATACGTAAGCGCAGACAAGAACATCATATTGCGGCAGGAAGCCGTCGTCCTCGAAATACTCTTGGTTATTTTTTGCATGTGCACACGAGGTTACAGGTTCGACTACAGGTCCTGGTGTGCGCGTCTTTCGTCGTGAAAGACAGCTGAAAAAATAAAGAAAAAAAATAAGAGTGTCGTTGCGAAGCTCGTTCACGCTCGGAACGAACAAGGATGGTTCATAGGGCGCTCTCGAAGCTGAACTACGGGAGCCGAATCAATCGATTGATCAGCTACAGCCAGTGCACTTAAAGCATTTGATCCATTAGCGCACAAAGTATACACATACAGCAAAGTGACGTACACATGAGTGACGATGTATTGCTTACCGCTTCATTTTTGTGCGCTAAGATGACAGGTGGAGTACCAGCAGAAATAACATTCAAGTTCACTCAAGCTTTACGGAACACGTCCCAAGATCTACAGATGCTACTCTTCCGCAACGCGATCCGTGTCGGCACGAATCAATATTGCCAAGGAAGTCTGTAAAAGCACACTTCTCTTGTAAAAACTTGCAGCATGGTACGCCTTAGTACCAACGTACTGACTCGGGGATTCCGTTATCCGAGGCCTCAATCGTACGCGCTATAGATAGAGATTTGATGTTTGATTTGTGGGGTTTAACGTCCCAAAACCACAATATGATTATGGGAGACGCCGTAGTGGAGGGCTCAGGAAATTTGGACCACCTGGGGTTCTTTAACGTTCGCCCAAATCTGAGCACACGGGCCTACAACATTTCCGCCTCCATCGGAAATGCAGCCGCCGCAGCCGGGATTCGAACCCGCGACCTGCGGGTCAGCAGCCGAGTACCTTAGCCACTAGACCACCGCGGCGGGGCGCGCTATAGATAGAGCGTGCTCGCGCTGGATACAGAGGGCAGCACCAGCGTCTGGCCTGTAATCTAGTTCGCTTCGATCGTGAGGTTCCGCGGCCCTTGTCATTCGAGCGCAGAGCTTGCAGGGAGCCCTTTGATACAGGAGTACCGCAGACTGTAACAGTAGACAGGTACACGGACAAGACAAGAGCTGCCGGCTAGGAGTATACCGCAGACTGTAACGGTAGACAGGTACAAAAACAAGAGCTGCCGGCTCGTATACTGAAGCACGCTAGTGCAACGCGGAGACAAAAGGGTGTGCTGACCGCTCCAATGTGTGACCCCGATTCGCTCTGCACTGTGCGCGCGCCACCACCGAAGCAAACGCCCCCTGGCGCGCGAAGCAATAACAAACATGATAGTGCAGTAATAACCCAGTCAGTAAAGGGCGCCCGCGGGCTTATGCGCTCTTTCATTGTCTTTTAAATAGCGTGGTGCACCTATTTGAACGCAAGGCGGGACGCGCGAGCCATGACAGTGGCCGTCTCAATCTGAAGCCAATAGGCCTTAGTGCATTCGTACGCGCGAAATCGCGCGTCATCGTTCTAGATCGCTCTCCTCGAACAACGGCGTTTGAAAAAAGGAATAGAAGAAGAAGATAGAATGGCTGCTGTACGTGAAAGGACCGTTGCAGCGGCCGTTTCAATCCGAGGCCAATAGTATTTCGTCTGTTCGTTCTTAAGCGGTCAATACTTCGTCATCGTTTGGTTGAACAACGCCGTTTGAAGAAGTAAGGAAGACAAGCCGGACGGCTTCTTTGAAGATGCCGTTATGTGGCGTGTGTACTTCACGGTGGACATAGCACACACACGCACCGCCGTACAGTGAGTGACGGCGATGTTTGATTGGGATGTTCGATTCGGTCGGGGTGCCAGCCAGACTTGCCGCTATTCGGTCAGTCGGCATCCCCTTCTATTACGCATTTCTGGACCCTGACTAATGCGAAGGGTAATGCAAATAAAAGGTAGAAATGAAAAAAAGCAAACCCGTCAGTGTGGCCGGAGGAGTTATACGATGGCAACAACGAGAAGCTATAACATCATCGAAACGGGACAATTTTTTTTCTTTGTAGCTTCGAGTGAAACGAAAAAGAAGGGCACACAACGCCGTCAGCACATCTGTGCACCCGTGTGCGCATGCGTCAACCAGCAGTGGCACAGGTGGGGGGGGGGGGGGGGGGCATGTTGCGACATAATGAACTAGAATGTCCTATTGAAGGCCACTGTGGTAGCATTGTACCAACCGGATTGGGCTCAAAGACAACGCAATGTCAAATTTTTCATGAGCTTTAGTGTTTCAACGCATTGTTTCCTGTTCTGCTTTTCCGCGCAGTTTTTGTTTTTGTTTTCGAAGCCACAAACTTCAGGTCGTCGCGATTTGACGCGCGCCACCGCTTTGCGAACCGGATTGAGAATGGGTCGACAGGTCGAAAGAATTCGCCGTTTGTGCATTGGGAGACGCCGCGGGGTGCGCTCCGTACGTCGTGTGTGTGTGTGTATGCGTGGGGAGGGTTTGAGCGTTTGACCACGACAAGGACGATGGGGGTCAACCTGTCACGGCTGGCGCGTTTTTCTGCATGCGCGATGAACGTAAAGTGCACGTTTGCTTGCGGATGCATGTGATTAGTCGGAGTGAGCGTAACGAAAGAATGGACTTGCATACCGCGAACAAAAGAAAAGGAGTGTACACAAATTAAAACAACCAAGTACGCAGTTCGCTACGAAAAAGAGAAAAAGCGTTCGGACGCCCACAACCGTTAGTCACTTCCGTCATGGTTCCTCGTGGCACTGAAGCAGTTTGCCCTGTAGCGCCCTCTATCGCCTGGTCATCTTCCGTCCCCAATTTTCTTTGACTGTAATGACTGCGCCGAAGCAGCGGCGCTGTAGCTTGAAGATCGGCCGCTGACCCAGAATGAAGTTTGTGATGGCCAGGCGCCACGTGTCCTCTCCACGTGCCAAATTTGGTCGTCAAAGAAGTCGGCTATAAGTGTAGCTATCGCTATTTTAGACCGCCCATTAGCTTTGCATGCTGAAGTGCGTGTCATGTAAACTCGCTGCGTCAGAAAACCTGTTGGTGACACGTCGCCAGCTAGCTCCATCTCTGCTATAACAATCACGTATTTCATTAAATGCATTCTATAATCCTGTTCATCTTCACTGACCTTTTTTCTCCGTGATATATCCTTTATTTTTGTGATCTACTGATATATCTACGCCGGCATTGAGTCAGCTTATAATAATCACCTGCTTTTGGTTTATCAATGCTATCAACATACATTGTCTGCATCAATCGCTGAGCACTTCATTCCACACACCGGAAATTCCGGAGCTTTGCAAACGTTTCGAGCGCCCCCAGCCGGCGTAGTCCGCAGTTGAACCCGTGCTAACGCTTCCACCGCTACATTATATCGTTCGTGCGTTAATGTGCGTTAACCTATCCGGCAGTTGTTGGACCAATGGGGCCGTATAACTATGTGTGGATCGGTACATTAGTACGTGTCTTGTGGCTCATCATCGCCGCCTCTACCGGCCGCTAGGTGTCCTCGTGTACGGTATAAGCTGGAACATCGTGAGTTGCACTTTATTACGATGATACTTCGTTTAGGAAGCGGCGGGAGCGTGTGGTGACGCTTGTAGAGTGATCGCTGTTTCCTCACCCTCTCTATCACGGTGCTTCCGCCTACGCCATAGATCGTTGCTAGCGTGCTCCGCTTTTTGTATTTTATTTCCTTTTCTTACTTCCGGTGTGTTTGGGAGGCGGAAATGAAGTTTGCGCAACGTCCGATTGTTCGTGCGGTTTCGACTACATATCGCGGATGCATCAACAGAGCAAGGTGGTGGTTATATTGATCGAATCACAGATGATCGTATGCGCGTGCGCATAGAATCGAAAACAGAAAAAAATAAATATAAATAGCGCATGCGCTTGGTGCGGTCGCGTAAGGTGTACATGCAATGGGGTCGCTTCAGGCAGGGGCGCGAGGGGGCGTTACTGAAGCGGAGTGATCGCAAACCGCAGCGCGCAGTTGATGGCCCTAGCGTGCCTAACTAAACGAGCGTGGTATGGTGTAGTATAAAGTAGCATAATTAATGGTCAGCCGTAACCAGGATGTGTGGGAGAGTTAGATCAACGCTTTTCTGTATATTACACTGCTTGCATGATCAGGGTGGTGTCGTGCGAGAGTAATATAGGCGCTCGTGTGTCCACTGACCAGCTGTAAGACGAAGCCGACAGCTAGCACGGGCAGCAGTGATGCATTAAAGCCGCGACCGCGTCGAGGTAAATGCGTGCAGCGCGGTAGTAGCTGCAGGACTGGTATCAGTTTCACAGTTCACTTCACCGTGGCAAGGCAGTTTTTCAATTTGAAAGACACTTTATTGATGGATTACTGCAGGAAAAGTGGAAGACTTTCGGGTATACGTGAGTGTCTTCCACTATAGGTTCACTAGTCGTGAGTATCCGGTTTGCTACCTAAAACAGGAGACGCTTACAAGAGATTAGGCCAAGACGAGCCGAAACGAGACAAAGCTGTTCAACAGACGCTGCGAGGACGCAGTTCTGCATTGCTGTCAAACACGCGCCTGCGCTGGCCTTTCGCCCGCACGCACCCTGCCTCGGTGTTTCAACGGTGCACGTAATTTGTCGAGACAGGCTTGCAACTCCGCCAGCTCGGGTTGTTGTACAGCGCGTAGTGGACCAGGGCGGCGCAGTAGCTCTATGAAGTAGGCCATCGCTGAATATCTATACCCGCCGAACAACGGAACCATGCAACAAACCGCTCTTCGTTCACCGCAACTGCGACTACTCCCTTCACTGCGAACGACGCGGCGATACGCAACGCCGTTCAAAGCAACAGCAACAACAATAACGTCAAATGACGGCGTTATACGGAACACGCTCGGCGGACAGCCGTCAGTGCGGTTCAGCAACTACGTCGTTTCGCAGAGAAAGCTGGGAAGCGACTGCGATACTTGTACAACGGGTCAGACAACAGCGCGTGAAAGTATCTCTAGGCGTAATTATAACCCGTTCGTTCAATGGTCGTCGATACCCTTTTCCTATAGTCTTCTCTCCTGCATCTCCCCTCCATCCCATCCAGCAACACCGTTCTTTGTAGTTCCCGCCTCTCTCGCATGGTGGCGCAATCGGGCTGCGGAATCTTCCGCGCGGCGTCGTGATCGACTGCGATGTTACGATACGCGCGTGAAAGCGAAAAAGGCCAGGCCTCTCTCGAGTGTGTAGCGTGTGTACTCAATGGCAAACAATCGTGCGCCGTGGCCTATTGAGCCGCGGAACGACCTGTCGCCTTTGATTAAGAGAAGAGAGAGTGGTCTCCGCCACCTTCCCGGCCGGCTGGGGGCGCCAGTTGTTGCACGGAACAATTACTATAGGACGCTTGTCCTTCCAATTGAAATCGTTATTTTGTCTCGCATGCGCGCCGCATGCCTCTTGATGCTTGAAATGCGGTCGCGCGTTCAGTGAGCCTTCGTCGACTGACAACATTCTCTCGTTCTAAAGTCATTAACGAGTATTGATAGTTTCTTTTGACGTTATCTTGCAATAATGAGAACGCCTGTCTAGATTCAGTTGAATGTAATTCCTACGTCTAAGGGATGCAGCTGATATATCTTACCACAGTCGTCACGGAGATGTTGCGACGACGCCTTAGAGTCGTTTTAAATCAATGTATCAGGAACACTGTGAGTTTTGTAACGGCTATCTGCAAGGGTGGCACCACCGGGGGGGGGGGGGGGGGGGCACACGGTTCTCGCCTGCCCTTGCTTCATCTTTGCTTCCCAAGAGCAAGCATAGTCAAAACATAACGCATAAGCTCTGTTCCTCTCTGCCCCTGGTTGTCTGGTGTCTTTCTCCTCGCTTACTTATTAACCTAACTGACCCTAACAACTCGTTGTACATTGATTGAAACCACTGTCCAGGTAGGATGCAGTATCGTTTTTAACAGGTTTCCGTAACCCTTCCGCTCGCAGAGCGCATCCGGTATACGACGGAGTACACGTGCGAAGGTCGCGAGCTGAACATCTCGTGCCCGGAGAACTACCAGATTCACCTGGTTCGCGCCAACTACGGCCGGCTCAGCATCGGCATCTGCAACGACTTCGGTCGGCTCGACTGGAGCGTCAACTGCATGTCCTACAAGTCCTTCCTCATCATGCAGGACAGGTGAGGACCCGGCTTGCAAATCAGCCTCTTTCGCGTCGTCGCTTGTGGGGGGGCAGGTGGGACGCCACCGGTGGAGACTTTTCGTTACGAACGTCTGGGTGGGAGGTACGAGTGATGAACTCGTGAAAAAAAAAAAGGGGGGGGGGGGGGGGGAGACACGAAAAAGTACTGCTGTTCTGTTTTGACGAGACGCCTATATCGAGAAACGAGGCAACGGAAAGTCGAAGTCAACCCTTTGGCCTTGACTTGTCACCTCACTGGTTGCGTTATTCAATTTAAACTCGGTGCGCTTCCTTTTTCTAAAATTTTTTAAGCACCGTCTCGCATCCTGATTGCATCTTTCGCCACCGTGGATGGCAGCTACTTGCAGCAGAAAGAATGACGGATAGATAGCCTACAACTCCTATTGTTGTTAACGCCGATCAATCAACATAACTTACTGAAAAAGAAACTTCGACGCACTTGCCTAGAAAGAGCGCTTTATATTTATAGACTTTTTTTGTGTGTGTGGGGGGGTTTCAGTGTCGCAATTCTGGGCTCTTAACGTTTGTATTTCGCATCTTTAACAACTAAAAGAAAAGCGTTACGGTAGACGCATTCGCATGAAAATGGTTCGGTGGGTGCACATGATGTTTCATGGCCTTTTAATTAAGGTCGTAATATTCAAAAACTAGATAACATCGATCAAGCAGCCAAAGATGGCCGCCCTCATATCTATCAGGTCATATAGCCTATACTTGATGAGAAAGGGTGGTGGGGTATTGCTGTACAAACGAAATGACCGAACTTCTGTATACACTCTATAACACTTCAAAATGGAACATCTTATTTGCTTTGTAGGATTAAGAAGTACTTCAGGCGCCCCACTTGAACGCGCTCATCGGGACTAATTGTTAGATGGGAAAGCCAAACACTCGTTATACAGCAACATGTCAGAATGAAATAAATTGATGATGATAGTTATCGCTGCTCAACAACTGCCGCCGTTCTTTCTCGTAATGCTTTGGCGTATTCATGGGATGTAATTGGTATGCTTGTGCGTTGTTTTCAGCAGTCCTTTGCAACTGAGTACTCTCAATCGTTTCAGGTGCGCACACAAGTCAAGTTGCGGTACGCACGTGTCCAGCAGTCTCTTCGGGGATCCCTGTCCTGGTACTCTCAAGTACCTGGAGATGCAGTACCACTGCGTGCTCGGTGAGCAACCTTATCATTGCCACAACAGATGATTGATTGATTGATTTGTGGGGTTTAACGTCCCAAAACCACCATATGATTATGAGAGACGCCGTAGTGGAGGACTCCGGAAATTTTGACCACCTGGGGTTCTTTAACGTGCACCCAAATCTGAGCACACGGGCCTACGACATTTCCGCCTCCATCGGAAATGCAGCTGCCGCAGTTGGGATATGAACCCGCGACCTGCGGGTCAGCAGCTGAGTACCTTAGCCACTAGACCACCGCGGTGGGGCCATTGCCACAACAGAAGTCTCGGCCGTATTAGCGTTTGTAGAACGACGCATTTAGTTTCATGATAACATGCTAGCGGAAAAACTCGGGTGTCTATGGCAGTTGCAGAGCTTGGAAGTTTAAAGCAGCACGATAATGGTGGATTTTCCTAACCTTAACCCGTTCTTTCTGCTCTGTGTGGCATCGTGTGGCGGTTTTTCGCAAGACGAAGACGAAAATTCGTCAAACGTTCAGCCGTCCCACCTCACCATCTCGACGCCTTTTAGCCGAACCGTTTCAACTTCGTTCGCAGGGTTCACAATGTGCTGTTTTCTTGCCCTGAAACAAAATCCAAAACACAGCAACAATGCCGCGAGTCGTGGACAAATCCTCACGTTCTAGCCATCACACCCATGGGGGGACCTAACGATTGCAGCGCCACAGTTTCCTTCGGCAAGTATTCTACAAAACTCTGTGGAATGACGTAGGCATCGACAGCAACACACGTGGCTCCACCTATACCAGCGAGCAGAGAAGCTAGTGAACAAAACTTGCAAGGCATCATCGTGCCATATAACCTGCCGTTCATCCGAAGCATTGAGAAGCGCTAGGTCGTGCGATGATTATTATTAATAATAATACCAAGGCAGATCGACCCATCCTGCGTCACAGAGAAAGAGAGTCGTGATTGCTATGGCAGGATCTTTTTTTTCCCCCCAATGCCGTATGGAAGCGTAGATACAAAGGCTTGCTAGGATCGAACACGACGGACTCGCTGACCTTTGCTTTGTTAGCAGAAGAAATAACTTTCGTTCGAAAAAAAGAAAACGGAAATAGTGTTCGGGAAAGTGCGTGTGTCCGAGGAAGGGTGAAGGGGGATTAGAGTGACCACAGGGAGGCGCTGTGTGTGTGTGTATTCCTACTTCCTCGAAGAAAGGATTCGATCGTGCAGCCAACAACGGCTGCATTCTCCGGAGAAGGGCGCAGCTGCGCGCTCGGCCGCTCTTGAGAATATCCGCATCCGAATGCTCGGCCCAGGAGGACACCCCCTCGAGAGGCGAAGCCTCTTCTACGGTTTTTCGCCCGCGCCAGTCGCTTCCCCTTTCAGCCCTGCGCTCAACTCAAGTGCTCGGCTTCGTTCGATGCACGCAGAGTCTGACCACGTTCCTCGCCAAAGCGTGATGTCAACGTCGTGGTCGTTTGGAGGAGGACGTGGAACAAGACGACCGGACATACTTGACGCGAGGGCGAGAGATGGAACGGGAGAGACGGAAAAGGGTCGGTCGGGGCTCGAGTATAAGCCGCGTTCTCATTAAAACGGTGTGCAGCCATCGCCGAAGCTGGAACTCGAGGCAGTTACTTGAAGTACTTCGTGCGCGTCCACATCTCTGCTTCCAGTAAGCGTCGTCGTCGTCTGCTTTCCAAAGCAGACGATTGTGGACTTCTGCAGTATTCGGGGGGGGGGGGGGGGGGGGAGACTTCTTCAGCGTCGCTCGCCTTTACACAGAAGGCGACGTTATATACAAACGCGCCACAAGTAGAGGATGTGTACAGCGCTGGTGAGACACGTCGCGCCAGCTGTCTGGGGTTTTCCAATGGGCAAGTGTACGACACTTCGAACACGTGACGTCTACGGCAATCTATATATCCTGTGCAGCACGGCCGGGCATCGTCTGTCGCCGAACGCAAGAGTCGTCTGCTTTTTCAAAGCAGACGACGTTGCGAATGCGCGACGCCAGCGGTTCTTTGTCGGCGGAACTGCAATTTTCTCCCTTGCATTCATCGCGTCGGCGGCTTCCCTGAAGCTTCTCTGCATGGCTTTGTCGAGACTGCCGCAGTATTAAACATGTCATCCACTGCGTCGTTCGCCGCAAGCCGCGGGCGACAGATGACGCCTTAAGACGCTCCCTTCGTCACCTGAGGGCGTTCTCTCGTTTCAATAGCTCACACGCACGCACGCCCCTCGCTTCCTCGGAGTTGAAAATGAATGAACTTCTCTGACGAAGCTAGCGGGTCTTTCGATCGGTGTGGCGAAGACTGGAAGTGTCTGTGGTGAGGGGGCGAGCGATGAAATGAGTCGGGGAAGGAGAGCTGGGGAGTGAATTGGAGCGATTCTTCCGACCTCCCCTCTCTCATCTCCAATGACCGATGAGATTAATCGAAACTGTGGGAGCTGGGGAGGGGGGGCTTCTCAACTATCCCAAACCGACTTTCTCTCATACGCCCTCCTCTCGAACCGACCGCCATATCTGCCTCTCCACCACGTCGAGTCGTTCCTAAACTTCCCTCCTGTCGTCACCTGGTATGCGTTGGCCACCCCACACCGCGCGGTCGGCTATCGGGACGACATTAAGCCTTGCGGTTTGAACGCCGGTTCCCCCCTTTTTCGCTGCGTTCCTGTCGTGGCGTCGACAGGGTTGAACACGCATTCCTGCGCGCAGCTGCTGGGCTGGAGACGTCGCGGGGTTCGGGTTTGCCGCGAGTTCCTGATACCGCATTCGCTCGAATTGAAGCCTTGCTCGAGGAAGTGGCTACGAAGACGATTACTAAAAAATATATGTATAGTCAAGGTATATTTCGTGTTTAAAAAGAAGGATGAAGTGCGCTGAAGAAGCGGAGAGAGGCAGTAGACAGCACAACGCCTACACTCACAATTGATTCTTTGTTAGTCCGAAAAAGCAAGGAAAGTAGATTAGATAATACTGAAAGTTTGCACATGCGTATACGTTCATATAATGGTGCATTTCATCCGGCGTTCGATAATGGCTTTCTTCAGTGACGTTTATTACGACCTACACACCACAGTCATCGCAGGTTTTCCGGAGTCATCAGAGTCAGGTTCACGGTTAGCTGGTTCCGGCAGGTTTTGTTATCTATAGAAATAGCTCATTGCGACACTTCGAATTGCGTTTTAGTGCGAAATTATACTGAGCGAATCAAAACGTCAATTGGCCCGCAGCAGAATGTCTGTCCCCAGTCACTTTGTGCTAGACCCGAAAGTCGTCATAGCGTGCTTGTTGCGACTGATGTTTATAAAAGCTCGGCACTTGCAGTTTTAAGCCCTATGTTAACACTTGAGTCACCGTACGCGTAATTGCGTATTGAAACGTGACGAAACGTCGTAGTGACGTCACGATGACGTCACAAAGTGCCGACGACTTGTGACCTCACATAGGGTGACGTGAAATGGGTTGCTTCTTCGCATCACTCATATTCAGGCCGACGATCAATTTTTTGCGTTTCACGAGAAGACGTATAAACATTTTCCCTGAAAAAGTTATCTGCTTATATTCGAGGATACGCGGCATCTTGCTTTTTGCCCCTGCGGGCGTCTGGTCTGAACCTCTGGTCTGGTTAGCCACCCCAACTCTCGTGTTCTTTCCCTGCTTCTCGCATCGTCGATTTTTGTCGATCCGGGCGCTCGGGCGACGTGCCTTTACTTAATTCGACGGGTCAATTTACAGCGAATTCTAGAGGGGTGAGGTCGCGAGGCAATTCGCGGCGCCGTCATATCTCACTCTCTCTCTCTCATTTCGCAGAAATCGATGCCCGTGAAAGTTGTATGGAAAGCTTAGGATCGATGCGATGGATTCTGTTCGGCTTGCTGGTATTTAGAAGCAGTCGATAGCTAACTGGGAATTGCCCCTTTTGCGCACGTCGACAGAAACGTTGGTTAATTAGCGCTTAACATTTAACCCCGCGAAGTTTTCCTGGAATATAACTCAACAAACGTTACCGTTATGGCGGTACGACAGACGGTGTGTGTTGGAAGTATCGGTGTTATGTGTTAACGTCATCTGTTAGGTGCAGTAATTAAGATAATTGTCGGGGTTTTACATGCTAAAGCCGCGATCTGTTATGAGAGGGACGTATGTGGAGGGCTTCGGAAATTTCGCCCACCTGCGTTTCTTTAACGTGTACCTAAATTTATGTACACTGACCCCTAATTTCGCATCCATCGACCGGGATTTGGACTGAGAATAAAAAAAAAACTTTACTTTTGCTTTGGAGCATACGCTTAGGCGAATGCACAATTCACGCTGCGGGTTTTTGAATTGAGAAAAGCTTCGAATCGAGCCAGCTTCTCCGCCGTTGTGCGATCGCTTTTCTCACACGCTCGAGCGCGACGCCGCAATATGCACACCGCGGTTTGCATTCCTCCACCGTGATGCACACATCTCGTGCAACCATACATTGGGACCCCTCGCAGCGATGTGTCGACGACCGATTCATCGCGTCACCGCTAGATGTGGTGACGATATAAATGGGCGATACAGAAAGACGGAGAGACAAGAAAAATACATTGACACTTTTGCGCTGCCGCAGTCGCAGCTGCACGCCTATATGCACCTATGCGGCCACAGATCAACTGCCGAAACGCATTTCACGTCCACCGTTCCCATCCAGGGGCCTCTTCCTTCTTTCCTGTGCAGTCGGCTATCTTGACGCCTTTCTTATTTAGCGGGCAAAAACAGACGTCCATGCATGCTTGATTCTTTCTTTTCTTTTCCTTTCTTTCTTCCTTTCCTTCCTTCCTTCTTTCTTTCTTTCTTTCTTTCTTTCTTTCTTTCTTTCTTCGCATTGACAGGTTCCCGCAGCCATTCGAGGACCTGCGGTGCGGGACCGGGAGCTATATGGCTTTATACATGATGGGATAGGAGGGCGCACGCGCGCGATATAGCTCCTCTTCCATCACGGATATAAGTTGCCCTGTTCTTTCTTATGCGGTATACCTCGGCGCACCGACGAAGAAAAGCTGGTATCGCCAATACATAAAAAGCGGTGGACTTACACCCTTCTCTCGTCTATGCATGCATGCATGTATGCATGCGAGCCGGCGACGATGGCGACGACGTGAAAGGTTTCGGAGTAAGAAAAGACATACAGAAGAACAAAAACTCGCGCGGTGTCGTCTGCTACGACGTGGTGTCAGGCTTAGCTAAGCCTAACGCCCCCCTTTCTTTCACCCTACCACGACGCAGACGGTTGATGTCGTCGTCGCAAGGAGAAGAAGCCCGCTTTGACGACGACGGGCGGTGGCGTGGTGTGAAGTTTTTTTTTTTTTTTTGTTTATATTATTCATCGCTTCCCGAGGTGGTAGATGACTTGCGGCGTGCCGAACCGACCGCAAGCGCGCCTGCCCGCCCGTGGGTCTTTTTATCCGCGTTCGCATTCACGAAGTTTCTATATCCCCTCGGCTCTGCATGGCCGTTCCTTTCGGAAAGCGCCATCTTCCGCACTCGATGTATACATATATAAAGACGCCGCCGAACGTCGACAAGGATTTGAGTGTGGTGTAGACTTGAGTGAGTGGTTTTCCTTTTTCCGTATCCTGTGTGCTGGTTCTTACTTGTAAACAAAAGGGACTGGCAAGCAATGAGAGGGTGCACAGCTATTTACACATTTCGTCGTTATGCATCCAAGTGTGATCTCTGCGATGTGCGTGAGAAAACAGTTCCGCTCGCATGTGCTTCGATCAGCCAAGTGGCTTGACATATACCGATGAATTTTTTTGTTTTGTCGTTGCTGTCCTCCATCTGCAATGGAGTTTGATTCGAAAATGATTTCTCGTACAGACAATACGTTCTGATAGCACTGCTCCAAAAAATTTACAGAGGTGAAATCGTGTGAGAATCGTCAACCAGTCATTCGTGTAATAGCGAGAACGTTCCGTTTGAACTTATGTTTCAACGCCGAAGTTCTTGAACAATATGCGCATAAAGATAGCGCCAAAAAAACGGAGGACAAGAGACAGACAGCGGCACTGACTTGCAACACAACAATTTGGGGATCACCTCAGATGCGTGTTTACTGTCGTCTGATTAACTTTGAAATAAAAAAAAGGAAGAAAAGAGATGGTTCGAGTGCGATTCAAGGCTTGTATTGCGCGCGTTTAGGTCTAAGCACTGGCTTTTGTTTAGGCCTACCTGCTTTGAGAAGGAATTCGATGCATTGTGTAAAGACACCCACTGTGTTGACCGAGACCACTTTGGTCTCTTCACAGCGGTGCATACGCATTTTCAAAGTCAGACGCTATCACTTCCGTCTTCTCTGCCGCTTATTTCGGTGAATCCGATAGGAGAGGCTTAAACACACACACAAACAGAACGGGATGCCGAAAGATGGCATGCGGCTGACGCTACGGCGCTGTGTAGCCGACTTGTGCGCCATGGGAAGGATGGAATAGCGGCGGCGTCGAATCTGCGGGGGGCGCGTCGTCCTACTAAGATGCCACCGTATTGCAAGAAAATAAATAGAGTGTGCCAATGACATAACGCCTCTCGCCTCGCATCAATACGTCGCCTCTGCGGCGCTGTCGAGGAAAAATGGCGCAGCCGCAAAGTGCTTCCTGAAGGATGAGGAAACGCGTTGTATATGGGAATGTATGCGCGTTCCTGTGTGCTGTATACATTGGACGCCATAACTGGCTGCCCCGTATGCGCCGATAACGCCTTTTTTTTTTTTTTTTCCCCTCGGTCGGTGAGCCAGAGAACAAATGTGACGCTTCGAGGAAGCGCCGCGTTTCGTACACGGCGGCGAAAAAAAGGCGAAAGGGCGCGAACTGGGAGAACTCGATAGGAAAAATAAACGACTGTCGTTGACGTCTATGGCGCGCAGTTCCGAGAAGATGCGCCGCATCGCGTTGTATTGAGGCTTAAAAGCTGGTTGCTTGGCCATTCAGAGTGCTGGTATACGTGCGAGGAATCTACTGAAGGGCTGCTTTTCGTGCAGAATCGGCGAATTTTCGTTGGACTGCGGTCCATGTGAACCTGTTACATGCGTTTTGTACACGGTGTAACGATCTGCCATTTCATACATTGCACCGACCTAACGAAATGTTCTGCAGACCATGGCACAGTGCAGATGGTACGATATAGACCTATTGTGCAAACCGGCACAATACATCTGTGCTGGCCTAAAGGGACGTTGGCTTTGCGCCATTACGTTGTACAGAGCACACGATATGGGCCGATTGTACAGTCCGACACATTGTAATGATAATGCGGCACATTGTACGGACCATGGCATTTTACAGATCTAATTGATTGATATGTGGGGTTTAACGTCCCAAAATCGCCATACGAATATGAGAGACGCAGTATAGTGGAGGGCACCGGAAATTTCGACCACGTGGTGTTCTTTCACGCGCACCCAGATCTGAGCACACGAGCCTACAGCATTTTCGCCTCCATCGAAAATGCAGCCGCCGCAGCCGGGATTCGATCCCGCGACATGCTGGTCAGCAGCCGAGTACCTTAGCCGCTAGAACACCGCGGTGGGGATTTTACAATCTGATTCGTTGTAGAGGCCGCACGTTTGGGACCGATGGTACAGACCACGGGCATCCTGCAAATACGAAACGAACCGATTGTGCAGCTTACTTTCCGTGGAATACTTTTCATTATATACGAAGTACTTAAGTGGCTGTGTTCTTGCTGGGTTTTGATTCCGTTTTGCATTTTAATTTCAGCTACCGCTTCGCCGACGCCGTCCGGGGGCGCCAAGGAGCACCCAAGGCCTCCGCTTCACGGACCGGCCGTGACGAACGCCACCTCGCACCCGCAACAGCTGGGACCGCGGGACCGACCCACGGCGTCGCCCAACCTCAACGTCCCGAACATACACAGGTACGTTCGGTCGGGACATTCCTTTATCCGGTGGTTTCAAAACGCGACCCCCGAATTCCATGTGTCAGAAAAAGTAAACAAATAAAAGCGAGAGAGTTTCTTCGTACCTTTATTAATTTTATCTTTAGGCTGTGTTATTTTTGTTGTAGTTGAGTGCTGTGGTGTCGCTGATGGCGTCTGTTGACACTGCGACTGCACGATCGCCATTGGAATCCAAGTGGCTTTGTCTTGCCGCGGCCTGAAGAATACCATCTAACCATATCGTGCACGTTATGAATTTAACAAACTTTCAGTGAAGCGTTGGCTGGGTGCAGTTATGTGAAAGTTATGATTGTGCGCTTATTCTTTCAATCGGCGTATAATGAAAAAACTTCAACAAACTTTCACCAAATGTTGGCAACTGTAGCCTTATAGTCGGGGTGTCGAAGCAGTGATTGTCCTCCAGGTTAAACCGCCGGTGACGTATTTCTTCAGTGACGTTGCGGTGGCGCTGCGCTTATCGGAGGCGTAGTTTAGCGTGCAGGATTGTCACCTCTGTGTGTAACACACAAGGGAACACATCTGCATTGCTTGTAGGTGACTATGATTATCACGCTGTAGCGCAATCAGATCGGCAAACTTTGCACAACGACGATCACGCCCTAAACGCAGGCAACCCATCTTTCATCTTTTTTTTTTTTTTTTTTTTTTGCGGTCGCAGGTCCAAGCAGGATGGCTACGCACCGGTTGCGACGTCGAAGCGACCGGCGCCGAGTACGACGGTTCCTACGACAACGACCTCTACGACGACCACCGCGACGCCGTCCACCCCGGCGCCGACGACGTCTCGTCAAACGTCGACCACGGCGGCTTCACCGATGCGACCGGGAGTCGGGGGCGATGAAGACGACGGCGATGACCTGAGGCCTGACGTGCGCGACTTCAACAGGAACCGATACCCGACGCCGGACTCTAGACCGCCGTGGCGCGGATTCACGCCTTTCGCAACGGGACAGCCAGGTAAGAAATGGGCGTTTGCCACAACGTATCTTGAACTACTTTTTTTTTTTTTCAAGAACTGCATGCTTCAGTTTTTATAGAGAAGGTTATGTAAATGTTGGTTTGCACGAGGTTGAGTACGGTTGTCGCATACACTGACCAGCGCTATTTTGCAACCGAAAGGTTAACTTAAAAAAAAAAAAAAACATTCGGGGTAACAAAGGCGAGCGCAGCAGACATGCGCAAAAGTGAGAAAATCAAACATGTGAGTTGTTATTACACGTGCCAAGAATATACACGCGAAGTCCCTGTCTACATTAGCCATGCGTCGATATTATTAATAGACATCTCCCACTGTGTTAGACATCTCCCATTATTTAAAAAAGAAGCAGTGGGATTGGCAAGGTGGAAGGTTGCGGTGAAAAAATTTGCAAACAGTGGTTGTGTCGAGCCGATGTTTCGAACAGGCGCATCTGTCTTCCTCAAGGCTAGAACAGAATGTGAAAGACTTACGCAAGTGGTACGTCTAAGCGGGGACGCAAGCAATTCTTCGTTATGCAGATGGTTTCGTTGTGAAGTGGTTCGGCTGTGTTGTCGCTCAGGTTGATATGTAGTAAGGGGAACGTAATTTCAAGTTTGCTGAAATTCCCACCTTTGTCTGCTCGCGAAAAAAAAAAAAGCAAGCAAGTTCAATAAAGGTCAGAGACAAAAGTATAAGTCGTCACGAGGTCGAAAGAAACATTGTTTCTTCGATCGCTTGTCTTGGAAATCGCCATAGTCCACTTCAATTTCCATGCGGAAGTGTCGTGGTGCGTACCTTCAGATCGGACGTTGCGATAACAACTTTCAAGGACGTGAGACGAGACACCCGCAGTACCCCCCCCCCCCCCCCCCCCCGCCCACCTCAAATATTTTGAGGCGTCCTGAGTGTTATGCATGAAACAGGAGGAGGGGGAGAGTTAACCGCATTCACACAAGTACGCAGGCACGCTCAAGCCTCAAACCTCAAGCGCACTTTGCCGAGCATCTATCCCCGGTGGCAGCAGGTTCCGATACAAATCGGGGGCGCCTCTCGCTCCGTCTTCTTTTACAAAGACGCGGCGCCCGTGTTGTTTCACAAAAGCGAGAAAAAAAAGAGAGCAGAAACTCGATTAGAGGAAAAACAGCAGCAAGGGTAGGTGGGGATAAGAGTAACGGTTTTGGCAGAACAGATAAGAAATGCCTCCCCGTCTCGTTTTGAAGACAAAGCCGTTACCGTGTTTTTGAAGGCTTTTGCTCTCTCTGTGAAAGAGCCCGGTCGAAACGCGCCCCCGCTGAGTTGGCGACCGATTGCCGCTGCTTAAAACGAAGGCGTGTGTGTGTGTGTGTGTGTGTGCGTGTGTGTGTGCGCGTGCGTGTTATGACAGCACATGCCGCGTAGTTCGCGCTTGTATATCGGTATCGCGCGTTTGCGGCGCGGGTCGCTTTCGCAGATTTGTATCTCTCGAAATGCGTACACAGTCGAAGAAAGAGCGAAACGTGGGGGACCGCGTTGCACTTTGGAGCCGGGCGGGGGGGGGGGGGGCACTTTCACAGATAACTTTCTCGCGTGTGGAGCAGGGAAGGGGCGGGGGTGTTTCGGGCTTTTTGTTTCGGTTTTTGTAGACAAAAGAGAAAACATGCGCTTCAAATTAGGTGAGGCGGGAAGTGGCGCGTGCATCGGGAGGGAAAAAAAAGTATAACATACAAGCGACGTCATTACGCGCGATGAAGGCGATGCAGTGGGCGTTGCACAAACGGGGAGAAGGATGGAGGGTGATCTGCTTCGTATGCTTTTTGCTTCCACAGCGCGGTAGACGTGAACAACGGATCGCCGCACCGCACCGCTTCCTCCTGGGACCGTTATCTCATGATCGGATCTCTTCCGCACCCGCCTACGTTGCTAGCCCTAGCTTTGACGGAGGGAGCGGAGTGTCCCGCTTTGTAACGAACGTCGGCACTACGTTTTGTTTCGCGACGTGGTCCAGCGGCGCCCCGTCTCGTGCGGTTCCCAGCGGTGTGTATCACACGCCGGTAAGCAGAGGGAATCCTCGGCGTTGCGTCAGGGCTCCGCGGCGCGCAGCGAAAAACCGCGTATCTGAACTGCGGAGCTGTGGCAGCGACTTCGATCTGTTTTCTTTTAGTCGGGCTCGTCGGGAGATGGCGAACGCGCCCCCGACTTGGTACGCCGCCGAAAAATAGATGCCCATATTCGTCTGCACCCGCCGCCATTGTGTCTGGGCCCCTCACATGGTATACCTACTACGCTTTGTTTCCCGATTTAGGCATTCGTGTCGGGGTGTGCGCGCGCTCACTTTCCGTTTTGGCACGCCAGGCATTCCGTTTCACACGTCATGCACGTCGACCGCAGACGATCGTCTGCGGTCGACGTGGCGCTTCGAAAGCGAAATAGTTTGGTTCCTTACCTCTGGCCAGACTTGCGCGCCGGTGCAAAATGGACTACGCCACGAAATAGCTGGCGCTGTAATCCAGATGGTTTCCGAAACTGGCAGGTGAAACAGGCGGTGCTATGAAACAGACTGCTTCATGCGACCGTCTGTGATTTGAAACAGACGGTGCTATGAAGCCGACGACGCTATGCTACTTACCATGCTTATGGAAGAAATGATGCTATGATCCAAGCTGTATATGAAACAGGCGATGCTATGCAACGGACATGAAAACGGGTGACTCCATTCAACGAACACTGTGGTGCGCGCCATGAATACGTGCTAGTCGGGTCACGTCCATGCAGACACACTATAGATACACTGCGGGGGTTATATTTTTTATGTTTTTTTTTAGTAGTCACGCTGTCAGTGTAAGCAAGTAATACCCATCAATACTTTTCAATGACACGTGGCATGCGTTGTTCACCTAAAGTTCTAGGGTCAGTCACAGGCACCGTGTTGTGCTTTTGTTAGGCGTTGATGTCGTAGCGGTCGTCCATGCCGCTGTAATCGAACAGAATTGCTCTTACTTTGTTTCTCCTCTTGATATGCATCATTATTTTTGCTTCTACTTTATATAGCCTGAACTCCGTTGCTCCTTCCTGCAGCTGACAATATTGCTGCTCGTTAAACGACTCGAAAAGTGTTCCCGTTCCTTCCCGTACCCTCATCCCGCTCCACGTTAAAATGCATCAAGCGAGACGAAGTAAATAAAACCCCGTTAAGAGAGGGTCGCAAATGGGATGATGTTGGGAGCGAGCACACACGAAGCGAACGTGAGTGAAATGAAGTTGGGGGCTTGCCGTACCGGGCTTGCGCGGATGGTGGCGCCGCAGCACCTCGGGAACATCGGCTTGACGAAAAAAAACAAGGGGACGGAGGAAGAAGAGGCGCGCATTAAAACGAGATTGCGAGCGCATTGTTTCGGGAGCCGCGCCAGCACAGTAACCCTGCGTCAGCCCGAGGCTAAAACATCCACTCTCCTTTCCCACCTTACTTCGAACGTCTAGGGAGATTCGCCCCGTTTTTTTTTTTTTGTCTTCCGACGTGATTGTCGTCAAATGGGCGACGGTTTGGAGGATGAAGACGAAGCCGTAGTTCTATGCTGATGCGAGACAAAGTAAAGGGAAACTGAAAATGGGGTGGTCAGGTCGCGTGGGGATGCTGCTCCGTAAGTGTCTCTTCTACGCACATTCAGTTCAGGCGGCGGTGGTGTCTCTTGTGTTCAACGCACGAGAGAACAGAAGGAAGAAGAAAAAAAGGAAGCGAGGTAAAGCGCCCGTCGTCACGCTCGTTGTCGGGGCTCATTATTTATGCGACGCGCCTATCCCAACCTTTCTTCCCTAAGGTTGTCTCCCCCCCCCCTTTTTTTTTTGCCCCTCGAGGCGAAGAAGCCCCGTGGATCCGCAGCCAAGGTTTGATAGCTTTCATCTCGAATAAAGAGAGGAACAAGCTCGGGACCTACCCCCCCCCCCCCCCCGCAAAAGAAAAAAGAAAGATAAAGAAGAGAGTATTCTATTCGAGGCTTTGGTGTTCGCATAGCGTTACTCTCGTTACCGACTATACGCGCGGTACAGGATATACAACTCGCCATTTTACAGTTCATACTTCTGGGCCTCATTCTGAAAATGTGATATATATATATATATATATATATATATATATATATATATATATATATATATATATATATATATATATATATATATATATATATATATATATATTACACTTTCAAACAACGAAGGCATACGTTATGGTACAGACGCCACACCAAAATGGTGCTCATAGCCCTCTAGCGGCCATCGCCTCGTTTGGGTGATGGCGTTATTAAGAACGTTGCGAAGTTAACAGCCTGTCGTTTTCCTGTCTGAAACATAGAGGGGAACTTTAATATCCCTCTTTATTTTCTAATTTGTTTTTTTTTAATGTGCGATAACGCCTTTAGAATGCGATGATATCGAGTGGTATGTATGTGTATAGATATAGATATAGAAGTGGAAAATCTGTCCATCATACCCTGGTTAGGACACCATACATCACCGCCACAATTGCGTAGAATTATCATCACCAATGATTATCACGAGAAGTAGTTGCATCGCGAACAGTATAAACAGAAATTCACTTTTTCACTTTTCATATCGCATTTCGTCTTGTTGCATATTGACGTCCTATCACAAAGGATCTATCTATCTATCTATCTATCTATCTATCTATCTATCTATCTATCTATCTATCTATCTATCTGTGTACTCATTAAGTAATTGATCAGGTAATTCTAATTCCTCAAGCAAAATTATGTGACCTTGCTACGGTTACTCACAAACAGGTATACAGCAGCATCGCGAGGATAACTTGAAACAATTATAAGCTCGCGCGCAATCCCTCTAATCCTCCGATCTAATCTAATTTACTATCTGATCAGAGCTCGTTCCGATCTCGTGGACGCCGTCAGCGCGACGCGCGCGCGTTCTTGTGCTCCCGCTTCCGCAGACTGGCAGTATTACAACGGCGTTCTTTGTTTGTCCAGAAAAAAAAAAAATGCGACTCCGGCTGCGTGTGCCGTCGTGCTCACTTTAACTCGAGGCACGCCGGCCGCTTATCGTGGAGGGCTCGACGACTGAATCCTTTCATCTCTCTCTCCGTCTCTCCGGGGTTAAGTAAAAAAGCTAGCATAAAACGAAGATGACGTAATTGAAAGGCGTGTTAGGAGAGGAGAGGGAAGGGTCTGGGCTAAAACTCGCTCACCGCCGCCGTCTGTCCCCCCGGAGCGCGACTATAGAGCGGAGTGCGCGATTGGTTCTCTGGTCTCCCCGCTTTCTTACTCGCGCGGTGCCGAGTCCGGAGCGTATATAGTCGAGACGTGAAAGCTCGGTCTTTGTTCGAAACGTCGTCCCGCCTTTCTCTCTTACCGCATCCACCCGCACCCGGATTCTTCCCGAGCGTTCCTGGCCCGCATCTAACGCAAAGTTTTGGGAAGGAGGAAGCTCGGAAGACGAACGATGAGGAAAGCGTGCCAGCTTCGAGCGCGGGGACTCTTGTTTTTGAGACGCCGCGCGAGTTTACTCTTGTCTTGTCTGAACCTTGTACTGCCGGAAATAGGGGAGAGAGAGAGGAAGATGGCGTAATCGGTTGAGTTTCTGTAGTACTGTGCATGCACTTTCAGGATTTTTTTTACAGCCAGGTTAAGTCGGCCCTGTGCCTCCGCATTCGTCTTAATGTCAGTACTGATATATATATATATATATATATATATATATATATATATATATATATATATATATATATATATATATATATATATATATATATATGAGTCAACATCGAACTAAACAAAACGATATGTATGTGATAAGCATCATCATCATTTTCGATTGTAAGGCTTACCTTCCTAACTGTCCTAGTCCGGCTACGTATCTTCAACGAAGTTTCAATGTCCGTGTGCCTTGCATTACTTGTTAGCCATGAAAGGTTTGATGACCCTATCTACTTATCCGTGCTTCCCTTGGGCAAAATGTTCGTTGAATAACATCCCTAGTAACATCCCTAGGTGCTTGACAGTCGTAACGTTTTCTGTGGTTAGCAAGCAGGCATATGGCCAACACCACCAGTTTCGTTGTCGCGAGCAGGTGGCGCTGTCACGGACGACCCGTCGTTCGACGCGACTCCTGGCGGCGGTGCCGAGGAGTACTGCGCGCCCACCACTTCCCGGGAGCTCTCGTGGAACTGGACCAGAGCTGGAAACACGGCTGTGCAAAAGTGTCCCGGCGGAGCCACCGGTGAGTGTGTATATATACGCACTGTGTACCAAAGAGGATTAAAATTGCCGGAGTAAAAATGATTGCACTGGAGTGAAACCGTGCCTATGGCAAGATGGCCGCTTTGGCGGCCATCTTACTAGGGGTATGCTAAAGTATTTCCGTTCAGCGAGTAAAAACGGAACGTTTCTGTCGCACGACAAACGATTTTAATGTGGAGACTTTTTTGGTTCAAATATTGCTCCAAGTTCGTCCTAGTATTACTAGTTTTCCTTGGTGAGCCTCTAATTGCAGGCAAAGTTCTTGGGGAAATTCAGTCACCCATTAACGTTTCTGTGTGTTATTTCGTCGGGAACAACAATATTTTAATATAGAACTAACGTAGCATTTACATTAACATATCAAGACCACTTGATCTTTACTGGGCGCTACCAGAAAAGAGCTTCTTTCCGCCATCTTGGCAGGGGCAAAAGTCGGGCACAGTGGCATAAGTTTGAGTAAGTTTGAGTATATATACTCAAACTTATGCGCGTGCTTATGTGCCCACTACACAAGTGACGTCGGCATTCCTGTGCTGCTGATTTAATCACAGGGCGCCGCTGTGACTGTCACGTATGGTGGGAATCTGTGAAGGCCGTGGTGGATTTTGTTTTAAACATTCGCTTCTTTTGTGACGATACGGTGCTTCGAAGCAGTGCTTTACGATGTAGCGCGACTTTGGACTGAGTGTCCCCGTAGATGTCACGCTACACGAAACAATGTCTCTCTCAAAGCATCGATGCATGGTCGATCGGGACTGTGTTGGTCTAGGCAGTCCGTTGTACCCTGCTGCAAACGTTGCACTGTTGTATTCGGTTGGTTTCTGTGCCCAGTTTATATGCTTATTTTTAAAGAAATATCAGGAACAACGAAACAGTTGCATACAGTGCCGGGGCAATTGTCAAAAGGCGTGAGCGCGGATTATACATTCGACAACAACGCTACCTACGCGCGTACACATCGCGCGAAGCCTGCACGCAACTAACCGAAAGAGGTTGACGAGGGCACCTCTTCTTGGTCGGTCCTGTATCGCCGTTAGGCTTAACGCGCGCGTGCGTTTCTTCCCTCTTTTCCCGAATCGTTCCGTCGCTACTGCATGCTGCTTCGCGTTTTGTTGTTGTTCTCGCGATAGCTCGTGATACGTTGTAATATCGAGCCCCCCCCCCCCTCCCCTCACGATCCGGGTGCCGAGTATATACACTGCACGCCAATCTATACACCGAGCCTCGGTGTACACTTTCGACGTGCGCCGCTGTCGAGCCCGGGGTTGTAAACGCGGCGGTGGTGGCCGGGAGGCCCGTAGTACCGACCAGGGAACCCTCTGGCAAATTAAGGATAAGTGAATGGCTGGGGCGATCAATTTTGAATGGACGACACGGCTGGTATCGTCATCACGTCATCTTGTTTTTTTTTTTTTTCTTTCTTCACTGTCTTCTTTTCGGTTGCGTGCGTTTTTTCTTTTCCGGTATAGCGTCCTTCGTAGCCCAGCCCTGAAACTCAAACAACGGAGCGAGGAGATAAAGCCGGTATTCGTTACGACGGCTCCGTTGGGCTTGTGCGGTGTTTACGCCCAGAAATTGCCCGTCAATAGAAGAAAATGCGGCGAGTGCTTTCGATGGAAAACCCGGAAGCTAAAAGAGTGTGTATACTGTTGGTGGCCCCCCGCGCGCTGGAAAATTGCTGTGAACGGAGGAATGAATGCTTACAGTTTGCGGATCTCTTATCGGCTCACTTCGCTTGAGGAGTAATTATCGCGGTCACACCGTTAAATGGTAGAGCTCTTCTCGGAGGTAAACAAATCAAAAGAAAAAAACGAAAGAGCGTGGACAAATTAATGCGAACTCTTGCAGTGAGAAAGATTTTGGTGTGGCATGAAGAGCAGATATTCGGCAGCGCTTGCTCCGTCGGGAAAACGGGAGCGAGCATAGCTTAGCGTGTGCACGCCTAAAGTACGGATTTTCTTTTTCTTTCTTTCTTTCTTTGTCATTGCGCAATCATCATCATCATCATCATCGTCATCATCATCAGCCTTACTACGCCCACTGCCTGGCAAAGGCCTCTTTCATCAACCCCGTCTTGTGATTTCTGCTTCCACGTCATAGCTACGAACGCTTTGATCTCATCGGCCCTCCTAAGCTTGTCTCCCCGTCGTGGGCTTGCTTTCACTGGGAATGCAGTAAGTTGCCCTTAATAACCAGTGGTTACGTTCCCGGCCTATGTCCGTTTCTTCTTCATTTGAACTATGATATCCTTAACCCCGGTTTGTCGCCTGACCCACTCTGCTCTCTCCTTATCTCTGAAGGTTACACCCATAATTTTCCTATCATTTTTTGACATTGCGCAATGCCCCCTCCCAACTGTTTCCTTCTCCCATGCCGAGAATCCGCCTTTTCAATTTTCATGTACTGCCTTCTGCTGTTTTGTTAGGGTTTTGATAAGGGTCGGAAACACTGGCACTGCCATAAAAAAAAGTCCTCCGAGGACCAGGAGGCATTTCGCGACATTCCCTCTAGAGGGATGGTGCATGCGCCGTGGCATCGTGAAAAAAAAAAAGTGATTGGATCTTTATCCACGTGCTTAGGTATAGCGCGACACTTCGTTCCCTTCAGCTAGCAATGGCGGTCACGCGTTCGCAACCGGGCAACAGTGAAACGTGGCAACGTTACACAATTGGTGACTTCGATACGATGAAATATTCGATCTTCGCATAGGAAACGGCTCATCGCCCGTACATCCAACGATAGAGGGTGGTCTTATTATTAAAAAACAGGTCATGCAAATACGCGTTTGACCGGTTCCCCTTAGAGGACGCCTTTCCTTTACGCTTGTCGGCGCCTCTAATATCTGCGTCACTTACTATAGGAAGTGCATGGCGCAGTGTTACATTAGCCTAGTCGGCATGAAATGTTTCACATGTTATTGCATGGCGCGGTACTAAATAAGCCTAATCAGCATGAAATTTCGGAAAATACTGATTGATCTGCGGTATTTTCTGCATGCTTGCGTAAATGGTTCCATTCACGATCGTGTGATTGAATCCGGGTCCTTGTGACACTGGTATTATAAACGTTTCGTTTATGTAATGTGCCACGTTTTCTTATCACGTGTACGTTGCGTAAATTGTCTGCAAATTCGTTAAGTTACTCAGGAAAAATAGAGAGAGAATAAAAACTTGTCTATGTTCCGACATTAGCGAATGTTAATAAACATGTGAGTCTGTTATGAGTAACGTGCATAATTCGCTAGAGTGCACAATATGATGCCTGACGCAGTTGAAAGATTAATCGGTGCGCTTAATTCATTCCCATTTTAAGCGGTCTGCGAACGCCTTGAATACTAAAAAGCCGATTTTTTTTTTACTTTAATAACGGACCCTGATCGCCTTTCTGTCCACTATTACATTGGAACGGTCACTTAGTATTCAAGCTGGTACTGTGTTTCAATATAGCTTTCGCATTATTAAAAAAGAAAAGGGTAGGGGTAGCGGAAAGGGGGAGGTGGCTATTGAGTAATGTGTTATGCTGCCAGTCCCATACGTACTCATGAAAAAAGTTATGTAATCCACAGATTTTTCTTTTAAAATTCAAACCGCTGTTAACACTGGCATACTAAGCAGCCGTTTGCCGCACATGTTGTGTTTAACGTGACTCGGTGTTTCTCATTCGCTTATGCTTAATTTGAAAGCGTACTCACCGAAACAATCGCTTAAGAGACTGAAAAAAAAACAAAGTCTTGGAATCATTCAACGCCAGCATACGTGCATCAGACACCAGTCACGTTCTTCAGTTCTCTCTGTCTCTCTTTTTTTTTAATGGAAGGGAAGTAATATTCAAGTTGTCTGCACGTGAAAAAAAATAATAATAAAATGCAATGTTTCGCTTCCGTCTGTACTGACGCATTCGCCGTCTTTCGCGTCGTGTTTACGATCGCGTCTCGCGGGCTCTTTCATTAATTACGCAAAAAGGCCACTGCGCGCCTGCGGAACTATAAAAGAAGCAAAAAAAAAAAGCAGGATACAATGCGCGTGGATGTACGCGCATGGCTTTCCTTTTTTTTTTTTTTTCAGCGCGCAAACATCCCGCGGGCGTTAGGGATATCAAAAAGAGAAAACGAAATAAAAGATCGTAAACCCTGGTGCCGGGACAAAACGTTTTCTTAATTGACTCTGCAGAAGAACAGCGCGCCTAACAACGGCCGTGAGCGCCATTGCCGATACGACTGTCCCGGGGAAGACCGTTTGCTTGTGCTTGACGACGGGCTCAGATGTACCGTATGCGACATTAGACGCGTTCATCTCAATGCTGTTTTTGTTGCATCTATAGCAGGAGCGCGAAGGAAGGGGGAGGGGGAGCGACCAGAAAGTTTACTTTTATAATGACCGGTGTAGTGTCCAGCCTCTCGTTGGAGGACAACGAATCAGTTCAATGCACGCGTGCAATGCTGTAAGCCATTTTGCCCGGTTTTGTATCTTGGTCCCGGTGTATTCTAGCATCTATTTGCTACCTTGGTGACAATATTTACTAGCGCAGTTCGTTAAGCTGCGGAAGGATTAACAGATTGGCTTAGTAGTTGGTCATAGTTCTTGAACATGTTGAGGACTGCGCGCCAATGACGACTCGCACGAGAGAGGCAATCGAAGACGCGCAGTGACCTCGCTTAGTGTGTGTGTGTTTTTTTTTTTTTGCATATGGTTGTGATTACTACTCTCTTTCGTCGTGTTGTCTGGCATGGTTAATCGGTGCTTACGCTTCTCGACTGCTCCCCTGAAGGTCGAGGGTTCGATTCCGGCCACGGAGGTCTCATTTAGGTGGAGGCACGCAATGATCGAGGCCCGTGTGCTCTGCGAATGTCAGCGCGCGTCAAAAGAACCCCGAATGCCAAAAATTTCCGCAGTCTTCCACTTCGGCGCGTCGCGTAATCGAAACATGGTTTTCGGACGGGAAACGCCCGGATGTTATTATTTTTCCCCGAATAGTGTGCGCCTTTCCGTAGTCTCTCGTACTTGCGGCAGCTTTGGTGTGGTGGCGCCATCTGACGCGCGATCAACGAACGACGATGCGGGGGAAGCAAACTTCGCGTCTTTTCAAAAGCGCAACAGGCTAAAAAAATTTTTCGAGTAACATCATTAATGTAAAAAAGTATGTGCTTAGGGGTTCGAGTACCTACAGGATATCACTATTGCGTTAAACTCTATAAACGAGCTTAAGAAGGGTCCCCTAATTTTCCAGCGAGTTTAGTTGCCCCGTCAAACTCGAAAGTTCAGCGTAATGATGTTTAGCGTAATGACGTCTGGAAACGTAACGCGCGTCACATACTTGCGTGATCCCATGACGTGTTCGTTAGGTGGCTGATCCACGACGCACTTCCGAACCCCGTGTGGCGCAGAAAACTTTGAAGGCAGGCGGGGGAGAGGGTTGGTATAATAAACGCGATCGATGACTTTTGCCCTCTAGTCGTCTTAGGTGGCTGAATAAAGGAGTGACTTTTTATTTTTTATTTTCGTGGCCATTGTGCTAAAATTCCTAACGTCGACACTTGTTAACTCAGCTTACGGCAAGTCTTGTTAAAGTACAAAAGGTGCCGGTGTTCAGATTACATGTTCCTCGTCTTCGCAAAGTTTTTGTTCATATAATCAGTCGTTCATATTGATCACGTCAGCGCCGCTGCGACGTGTCCTTCCTCCCCCCCTCCTCTCTTCTGGGACAAAGTAGGCGGCAGCGGTTTAAGCTCCGCGCAGCCGCACCGACCGCACTGTCAGCTCTCAACTGCGACGAGGAGCAAGAAATAAACAGCCGAAAAGAAGGGATACATCAACGACAACAACGACGAGCGGCGCGTTAAGGGACGCCGGCGGGAGTGTAATCGGGACGCGCGTGGCCGTAATTGATGTCGCGCTAATAATAGACTTTTTGTCGTCTTTTTTCGCCTGTCACGTCACGCTCGAAGTCGTGCCGCAGGGAGGCGCGCCGTTCGCCTCGACTCGCATTGGAACTCCCATGAGACGAGAAGACATAATTTCCCGCTCTTCCCTTTTATCCCCCCGTGGTAGCGGTGAAGGCTAGCAATCTTCGGGCACCCCTTTTTTTTCTTTAGTACATTATAATCAGTTGTTGGGAGAGGCTCGATCCGGTTTTGGCTTTGCGTTTTTCGAGCTCTTGACTCCAACGTCGCAGCTGACGTTGATTATCTCTTGTCAGCGGCGCGTGCGACGCGTTCCTAGAGAGAGAGAGAGAATAAACGTGTATTTGATAGCATGCTTGCCGTGTGCCCATGGAGGAAGTTCCAGAAGATTGTGATGACCGGTTTAGTAAGGCGAAAGCCGCAGAGCCCTCATAAAACGCGAAAGGTGACGGCATCAGAGTCAACACGAGTTATGCAGCGTCTTCATGACGTCATACATTGCTAAAGTTCGTGACGTCTCGTGATGACGTCATCTCACGACATCGCCGCTTGCTGAAAAATGGGCCGATCACGGAGGCCATGCAAAGCTAGGTGGGGTGTATAAAGCTTGCAATTCCTTCGATCCTGGAGGCCGTGCAAAGCTGAGTTAGGTGCACAAGGGTTTTCGAGGGGAGCGGGGGAGGATCAATGAGTACATCGAGTGAGATGAAGGTGACTAAGATGATGATGATGAAGTTGGTAATCAAGAAGACTGAAAGAAGACGTCACGAGGGCGCAGCAAACACATGATTGTACGATTGTCGGGGTATACTTTGCGTCTCAAAATCACAATATGATTATGAGAGATGTCGTAGTGGAAGACTCCAGTACCTGTACATGGCCTGTACAAGTACGTGATCATCTAACATTTGGCGTCCGTCTATCTAAACGCGGCCGCCGCGGCTGGGATTCGATACTGTGACCTTCGGTTCAGCAAGAAATTGTGAGCTTTTACCGATGTATGGTGTCACATAACCCTTCACGATCAATAATTACCTGTCTAGCAGCGCGTGCAACCTTTCGCGGTACCTGCAATGCATGGTGTTTACGGGGTTTGACTGCTGACTCGCAGGCGGCCGTATTTTTCGATGGAGGCTAAAGTGCCCGAGGCCCATGTGCTTAGATTTAGGTGCACGTTAAAAGAACCGAGAGGTGGTTGAAACTTCCGGCGCCCTCCACTACGTCGTGCCTAACTGTATCGCGGTTTTGGGACGCTAAACCTTATCGGTTATTATTAGCAGCGCGCTAGTTTCTGTTGTCGTGTTAATTGGTGTCGGTTTTGGGTGATTATACCTTACCGTGTCGGGTTATTCCTTACAGGTGTGGCGAAGTGGAAATGCAGTCGCGTCGGTCTTCGCTGGGTTCCGGACAAACCGGACCTCCGGCTCTGCCGCTCCCTCTGGGTGGAGAACCTTCGAGAGAGGGTGAGTGGTGGACCGTTGCTGACGTCTTCTCCGGTGTTCATGGGTCTCACGAGGGAGGATCGCGGCAAAAATAAAAACGCTAGACTGGACTGTTACATTAAAAACCTATTTGCTACGCTTTGTTTCAGTGAACTGATAGCAGAAGGGATAATTTTGTTACTACCCTGCACTATGTTCTAGCGCGAGCAATCTTTCCTACTGCAATAAAAATTCTCTCGAATAGGCGCAACGCTGGCCTAATTAGAGCGTACCCGCGTGGTCTTGGTATGCATGCTTGAAGACGCAATTCGCAGTTCCCCGCCAAGCTAAAGCACTTACGTAAAGTTCGGACTGGTAGCTGAAATTTCCGTTTAACGTTCGTCTCTTCATCGTGCTAATTCCGACGATATGTAAAGCTCTTCACGTTATGTTTTTGTGTATTGTGGCTTCACACTTTGTAATACCGCCGATGTGCAAAGTATTTACTCACGTTAATGAATTCGACTGTTGTACTTCTCTAATGCGGATAACGTCGGTGTAGTTAAGTAGGCGAGCGTGGATACATCTTTCCGTGGCAGATGGCATCCGTTGGCGAGAGCCAGACGACAGTGTTTCAGTATCAATTAAAACTGAACCATGCAGCGGGCGTGGTTTTGTATAGTGTTAAGCTGTATACCTTTCTCTCTTTTTTTTCAACGCAATGACAGCTGGAGAGCGGCGAGTCGATCATCAGCGTGGCCATCGACCTGTCGCTGATGACGCAGACCAAGTGGCTGTTCAGCCAGGACGTCAAGCACATCGCGGCCATTGTGCAGCAGATGCTCTCCAAGGCCGTCAGCAGCATGGAGACATTCCTGGACGCCTGGCACCGGGAGCAGGTCTTCAAGGAACTGCTAGACGTGAGTGGCGTGATTACCTGTCTACTCCGTGCGTGTCTCAATTGAACATACCCGTGTATTTACGGGATACAGCTAACGACGCGGTGACGTAGATGGCAGTAGCAGAGTTGGTGGTGACACCTAGTGGTCGTTTTCTGCGATACAATGGGTTGAAAGCGTCTCTTTTTTTTTGCTTGCCGATTTTCGGCCAGTTTGGGACCAGAGTGAAAACTCGTGTGAGTCCTCGACAGTGTATTGTTCTAAATTTGAAACAAGATATTCAGTTAATTGTATCGCTTCAGTGAGACGAATTCTACTTCTCGCGTTTGTCGCAGATTACTAGTAATGCTGCAGTACGGAAATTCCTAGTTCCCTATTTCTTGAAGGATTTGTTTTGCAGCTGTTAGTAGTCCGTAATGCTGCTATGAACTTGCGATTGTTTTCTTTATTGCGATTTCCGTACTTCACTTAAAAGGGGCCTCATTATGCTATTGTTAAATTCCGCTAATGGCGAATGCCTCCACCATCACCCCGCCGCTAACAGCATTGGAGTATTTTCTTTCGTTCTCTCTTTCTTTCTTTTTTCTTTCTTTCAAGTCCATTTCGGTGAGTACCACGTATCAACTGGAGCGAGAGCCTACAGATGAAATACGGCAAGTCCCCCAGCCGAAGCAAGTTTGGACATAATCCTCACGTTAGGCGCCATCTACAAATCATCGCCCCAGTTCATGTATTGCCCGTTTCTCGTTACCCACTGCTCCGCCTTTTTTGTGTTTTCCTTTTCTTCTTTTTACGACGCACCTACTAGTGTGTCGGCGAAACAAGTGTTGCGTAAATACAGGCAGAAGTACCGAGCGAAGAAACGCGCACGCACGCGCGCACTACAGAGAAGGAAGTCGCGATAACATTTCGCCACGGTCCAATGGTCCATATCCGGCCGATCCCTGGCAGTGATTAGGGGTCGCTGTGTACACTCGTCGCTAGAGGACGTGCCAATAGGTGGTAACGACGTTAAAGGACTGGCGCCCACCGCTGCGCTCTTGACAAATCCCTCTTTTCCAGGGGAAAACTGTGATGGACCGGGAGGAGACGAATGGGGGAGTGGGGAACAGCATATTAGGGAGACCTACCTTCCGTTTTTTTTCTTCCTTTATTCCTTTAATCTTGTCTACACGCTAAACTGGGCAACGCGTCCCGGCTCATAAGGCGTCGAAGTCCTTATCGCCGTAAGCCCCCTCCGTTCAATAGCAGTGAACGCCGAACCTCGCAGGGTGCCGTCTGCTAACGAAAGTTTATCCCCGGCGTGCTCTGCTCGGGCCGGCAATCGGCGCCATCTGTATCGGATCCCGCGGCCCTTTTTTTTTTTTTTTTTTTTTTGTGGCGTAGAGGTGAGTAACGCGAGTCGCAGATGCTGCACGCGTGCGTGATAGGTAGTGTTGTGTTCATTTCGGTGATCAGGCTTTAGTCTCGAAAAAAACAGAAACAACGAGAAACCTTCTCTCTCCCGCCGCTGCATTGGTCTGGCGCCTGCGAAATTCGTGCCCTCGGGCGTTATTGGGGATACTGCGCACGTTTCCTTTTGTCTTACTTTCCTTTTATTATTTTCCCGCTAAAGGCAGGGTGATCTCACGTGGACGGGGTGTCACCCTGGGCCGGCGAGCATAATGCCGGAGTATTCGAACCTCCCTGCCTATTTTATTTCGTTTACTTTGTGTTGCTGGGTGCGTGCGCGCACCTATACAGCTCACCTTTTTTAAGATCCCGCTGCGGTTAGTTGCGTGCAGCGAGTTAGAAGCACGTGTCCCGTGTCCCAGTAGGAAGCGCGACCGCGTTATGGCTCTGTTTGCGGTCAGTCGTACTTGACGCTACCGCGCACGTAACCAAGAGACTGTAGTGTTGTTCTGTTCACCGAGCCGCTGTACGTACGTGGCATCTAATTGGCTATGGCGTTGCGCTCTTAAGCGCGAGTACGCGGGTTGGACTCCCGTACAATCGGGCTGCAATTCTGTGAAGAAGCGCCACCTACGAAAAATTAGGTGCCCGTCAATGAACTTCGGGTAGTCAAAATTGACCTGAAGCCCCCACTGTGGCGTGTATCGTAATTTCAACGTGGTATTTATGAGCAAAACTAGTGTACTTTTTTTTTTTTAGTACAGAGAGCTAGCAGTTCATGATTGCCTGAATCAAGCTGGGCACCGCGCTGGCTAATATAGGAACATTTGTTAGGTAGCGGCGCGGCAGACTCGCAATCTAAAGGGTGTCAGAGGTCGTACACTCGACTTTCAATCGCCGATCATTATACTCGTCAAATTAGAGACAGTCCTTAAGTACGGCCTCTGCGTGTGCATTTCCATGCACCTGCTTCTTTCAAGTATAAGTTGAACAATAGTACTTGTGGAGAAGCGCTGCCATTTTTTTTATTCTTTAACGTTTGTAGCGGTTTATCGATAGGAGTGGCATTAGCGTTTTTCGTGAAGCCGATACCGTATAGCTCAACGATACCCAATTTGGTGTCGCATCTAGATTACGTTGTGCATACGCTTCTGGCGTCGGTCATACATGAGTACTTAAGTGTGACAACTCGGTATATACTCAAGACGTTGCGCCCAACTACACGCGATATTTCTATAAAGCGCTTACCAAATCAATGGTGCTAGTTTGCGCAGGTTCATGCTGAAATGCGCTTTGTGTAACATTTAATGGACTAAGTAGCGATGAAGAAAGGGCAAGTTGGCTTACGTGGCGCAACGTAAGCCATTTGAACGTAATCCCTGGTGCTACACGGCTTACCAATATAACTGTCTAGAAACGGTGGTGCTTACTTACGGGTTGCTACAGCATCGCTATAGTAACGCGCTGTCACGCTCATAGCTGGCAGGCGATCTTTAACGATTCGATTGCTTTGCCTACTGCGAAAGCCTTGGCAACGTAAGAATAGCCGACTCACGGAGATTACCTTGATAGGAAGCTTACATGCGTACCGTAATCTCAACCGAATCGCCGCGTGTACGTAGACGAATGCTCCCAATAACGACGGCGAAGCGTGGCTCGGTTTTCTAACAATGTCTGACGTCATGCAGTCGTTCCCCCCCCCCCCCCCCCATACGTCCGCGGCGGTTGTTGCCAACATTACGACGCGGTCAGGCATTTCCGTACGCACTTTGCGGGAGGGCGTGCCGGTGCCGCCACCACGCGTCGATGCACCGAACTACGGGGCGCGGTGCGGTGCGCCGGACCGTGCGTGCCTGCGAAAAGCTTTTTACGCGCGATCCATTTACGAGGGCTGCAGCGGGGACGGCGACGCATAGGCGCGTTATACTGTATTCCCGCGCTAAAGCGGCAATATCTGGCGGCGGCAAGCGACACTGCTACAGCCAACGACACGGCCGGTCTCGTGCCCTGTGAGTCACGCGCCTGTAGTCCGCGCCGCTGGCCGTATAAACCCCCCGGAGCTCTCTTTTCGTCCACGCTACACCGGTTCCAGCGTCGCGAGCCAGAGTCGCACCTATTAATCACGATGCGGTGCAGGGCGTCGGCACGAACCGATGGACGAGACGACCGGTGATTGGCTACGGCAGCGTCGGTCTGCGCCTCTCAAGCACACGGGATGGTCCTAGTTTTTCTTTGTTTTGCAGTCGTTGTAACCGCTGCCACCTTCGACGGGGTTTGCCGCGGCGCATTTTCGCTGAGTCATGGCCCCGATCGCGTCTTTATTGAGGGTATACACCCGCACCCTCCCCGAGTTCCAGCTGGTGTCCTCCATGATCCGTAGATGGATCTTCCCTGTCTCCGAAACGGTGGGCGGAACGGGCGGTTTCTTTTTTTTTTTTTTTTTAGAGGCAGCTGGTTTCGAACCCCGTGGTTCCCGTCCCTAAGCACGTAAGGTGATGCGCACTCTTGAATTGAGTTGCATGACTCCACCCATAGCCTACCCTGGCTCAACGAACGTCACCCATTACGTCTTTTTTTTTTTTTTCTAACTGTATCGTATACCTCGCAGCACGTAGCGCCTTATACTCAGTGTAACACCCCCATTTACAGTTACTCAGTGGGGCTTGGCATATTATAAAAAAAAAAAGACTAACCGGTAATGTGAAGGCAGAGAGTTGGGGGTAAGAGGGGCAGGGGGGACTTGTGTATTGATCTAACATTTCTGTTATCTGTTCTCACAATATCTTCTTTTATGGGATCATATTTCACTGGCAATTATGAAAAGTGCACTTTGAAAAATATCAATTTAGTAGTATGCATGTAAATCTTTCCTTTATTTGTTTATGAAACACAATGTATATATAGCATTGTTATATATGTCATGAAACATTGGAAATATACAAATGAAAGACAACATAATCATTCTTCTTGAGAATAATTGTTATTCTGGTAACGTTTTCTCACTATCGAGCACGTTTTACGGCCTTCTAGGTCTTAAGAAGCAGTCATGTTATGACGACTCTCAAGTTTCTGTAAATTACATGCAAGCTACGTTGGTGAAAAACTAGGCTTCCTGGAGAGAATGGTGCAGAAAAATCTTGTCAGTCTTATGTCCGCCTCTTTCTCTGATGGATGTCCCGCATATGTTATGCAGCTGGCACTGCTCAAGAATTGGGGATTTATTGGACTGAAGTGCATGGCCTTTGATTGTTGTTTGCTCTCGCAAAGGTGTACTGCTTGGCGTGACCAAGCCCATCGAGCCCCACTAACTTTCTCAAACAAGTTTGGCCTCAAGTTTGTTAAAATATTTTTATATGGCAACTTATTGGGTGTCCATCTGTGTTCTTTGCTTTTCTGTCCTCTTTTTTTCCTCCCATCACCCTCTCCTGTATCGTATGTCACCCTTCTTTCAAAGGAGCGGGGAGGCATTGCACCATTTTAGGTTGAAGTTGTCAGCCTGTTCTCTTTCTATTTCCTTTTTATTTGTTCTTTAGGGTATACAAATCAAATACTAATTATATAAATGAGTGTGTATTTATCAAGACAAGGGGAACTTCCCTCAAGACGATGGAATGATCTCAATCTCACTGACTTGCATCATGTTTGTCATCAAAACGAAGTTGCATCTTATGCGAAATTAAGTTTGTTACATTCGAAAATTCGTTATAAAGGTTTATTCCTAACACTATCTATTGCAAGACTATTCATTACTTCATTTGCTTCATTAAAACCAATATTTCATTATATCTGATTTCGTTATATTGAGCTCTTGGTATAATAGCAATGGTTGCCTATTTATCATGACAAGCGGGACTCTCCTCACGTGGATGACATGATCTAAATGTCATTAACGCGCGTCGTTTATGTTTGTACAGGCCATCTCTGAAACGGCCAGCAACCTGCTGGAACTGAAGCAGAGGCCAGCGTGGCAGGACCTAAGCTCGGCTGACCAGAAGCAAGTGCTGACCATGCTCATGGCAGCCCTGGAGGAGAGTGCTCTGCTCCTGGCCGAGTCATTCTCGAGCGAGTCGTTCTTTCCCGTCGTCAAGTCCAACATACGTGAGTTGACATCTGTCTCTCTACCATACCCAGTTACCGCCTGAAAAAATCTCAACGCCGCCCACGGCCATCACAGTCCCCCTTGCAGAGAATATTCACAAATGCTCCAACCAACCGAGCTTACTCATTTTCGTGATTTTAAGCGCTACTCAGGTGTTTCAGGTAGTTGACTTTGCCATAAAGACGCACATTTGTGTGGTTTGTTTCGGCACGGAAAGTAGAACCCTGGTAAATTTCGTCGGGGACGCTCACATCTCTGCTCAGCCAAACGTGGTTTAGGTAGTAATGACAAACATTCATTTCTCTAGTATGTGTGTGGCTTTTATATTAGCTAAGAAAAAGTACTTGGGCTTGAGTGAAAACAATCTAGCACGAGTTTCTTCCACAGGTGAAGAGCAAGCACAGTTCTGTGGACGAAGCTGACATTTTCTTCTTGAGTTATAAGCAAGCATAATGCAATCGAGCTGCTGCGAAAGAAACCTTGATTTATGTTGGCTCCTGCGTGTAAAAAAACTTGATTATCGAATCTGCGCCTTGGTGGCTGGCTGTGCAGGTAGTGTTTTAATGCACACGACATCCCTTGCAAGCTCATGTCGCCTTGAAGTGAACTGGGCATAACTTCCAGTTCATATTGTGGTCAGTGTAATTTTGATCCATTCTTTAGCTGCTGTGTTCTGCATACTTGTCCATTACGCCAAATCACTGGGTTGTCATGATGTAACAACTCCGCAACTGATCCAAAGTAAGGTTAGGTATGGCTCTTTAATAGTATTTTCTGAAGATGCAGAAGGTTGACAACAGGTTCTTCATGTGGGAATTTGTCAGTTTACTCTCCAGCTGAAATTGAAATAATGAATTGGTTATAGACATAGTAGCTACATAGAGACTGTGCTATATATGCATGCGCCTTTTTTTTTTTTCCAGTTCTCTCGGTAAAGGTGATTGATTCTCGATGGACAATGAACATCCAGTTTCCATCGGTGAGCGAGACGCAGAGTTTGCAGTGGTCCGGCATGCAAGACTCTGTTCTACTACCAGTGGAGTCCATAGCCCAGTTCTCAAAGCATGGTAATTTTCTTCGCTATCACAATAGGTTTGATGCTAATGGTGATATTGAAATCCGAAAGGTGTGTTATTTTCATTCACTTGTTTCTATTTCAGTTTACTCATAACAGCGATGCACATTTGAATTCTACAGCCAGTAAGGAATTTTTAGGTCAGACCTTACCTTCAAGCCGAAGGAAAAAAAAGAAAAATGCAAAGCCACCACCATGTCGTCTAGCCAATTCACAATATTTCTATTGGAATTTAAATACCCTCAAACCTCATTTTAACAGTTTCATCTCACATGAAAATAAGTTTGTTATATCCAAAAATATCTTATAAAGGTTTCTTTGTAACACCATAGCACCTATTGCAAGACTGGTTCATTTCCTGAGTTATAACAAATATTTATTTATATCCAGTTTCGTAATACCGACGTTTCAGTGTAGTAATTTTTTCATGAAGACTGATATTTATTGCGCCTGACACCTCTCAGCATTGCTATTGAAGGCTACCTCATTTTTCTACCGGTAGGCCAGAGCATCTGTTTTTGTTGCATTCATAATAGATTGGACACATAAATCCTTACTGCTGTCAAATATGGCTGCCTGAAAAACTCAGGAAGTGCAGACAAACAATGAAGCAGCTGCTAGGGCTCCTACAGCATCGTAAATGTGCAGACCAGATTGGGCCAAAGCAATCGATAGTACATATAACAAATTGCCACTGCCGCAGTGTTGGTTTTGCAGTCGATCTCAACATGGCTGTCACTTCTTTGTAAATCTGTTTTTTTCTGTTGTGAAGTTCATCGAAAGTATTTGTCCGAAGTTGTCTGAAGCACTGTTTTTGTAGCTCCACACCACGAGTAAAAAAAACAAAACAATGCCTCTGTCCGTTTCAGGTCTCGGCAAGGTCGTGTTCATTGCCTACAATGGTGTCGAGGATTTCTTGAGGCCGGAACCGATGGCCAGGCAAGGCGTGGACAGCTACGTCAGTGATGATGGATACAGTGAACAGACGAACATCGTCTTCAACCCTGGCACACACGTTGTCAATTCACGCGTAGTGGCTGCTTCGGTGGGTCGCCATCGCAACAGCCATCTTCCACAGCCCATCACTGTCACCCTCAAGCATCTGCAGGTAAGACGATTGGGCTGTATTGATTTTCCATAAAGTTGTTTTAAACAATGAGAAGAGCACTTCTAGGTGATTAGTCGTCCATTGTGTCCAATGTTCAACTACGTTTTATTAGCATGACAGTGGAATAAAATACTGTCAGTAAATCTGTAAAACGGTAGATTTTTTGTCTTGATAATATCTACACAAACACATTTCTGATTACCTATATTTAGATTGTAATCAAGGTGCACACATTGAAAGCCCATTCACATAAAAATCTCGCTAATATATATCAAACTGCATGTTTACACAGGTTCGGCGAATCTTGTGCTATATTCAAAATATTGGTATGCTTTAGAGCAATAGCACGCCCATTTTCACCCACTTTAATTGATGTCCCAAGAAATCGAGACATGCACTTTTACTTCAGAGTTCACGCTGTGAACTTGGTGGTTTTATATTTTGGTTTGTATGTAAATTTATTGTCAATTCTAGAAAAAAGAAAGATTGAGGCTGTAGATTTTGTAGAACTGTGCTCAAAACAGGCACTACAACTATGTTTTTTCGTACAAGTGTGACAAGTTTTGTTGAATTCCTCTCTCTGACTAGCAGTCGAACAAGAGGACCTATTTCCGGTACTTTTCAGCATCGTCGTAGCTGCATTAAAGTTGCCGACAAAAAGTTCCAATGCAGAGATGTGATGCTTCCCAGGTGCCGCTCATCTGTTGTTTACCAGAGCGCGTCTATTCTTCGTCAAAGAAGTAACATTGCTGTGTTGTTCTTGTGCAGGAAACTAATGTCAGCAACCCTCAGTGCGTGTTCTGGAACTACGACATGCAGACGTGGTCCACCGAAGGCTGCTGGGTGCACTTCTACAATTCGACGCACACAACATGCGCTTGCGATCATCTCACAAACTTTGCCGTCCTCATGGAAGTGCAACCAGCCCAGGTAAAGTAAGCTTATTAAGGGGGCCCTGCAACACTTTTTATGTATGGTCAGAAAACTCTGTCGATCTGTAGTCGTGGCTCCCGAGGACACTCGAGCGAATATTATAGCGCAACTCGCGGCCTCTAATTTGCAATAAATTCGCAAGCTCTGATAAAAAGCCGCTTTCTCATCTCTCGTGAAGGGACGTAGGATATCCAAAATGATTGCGTAAAAGCTGTCGTATCAGCAATTAGCTTATTTGAGTATGGCACGCTCGTTCGAAGAAAAAAAAAAGTGCTGAAGATCACAAAATGCATGTGACGTTTTTCTTTTTTTGTCCCCCTGCCATCCCTCCCTGCTTAGTTACCAGTGTTTTCATTGGGACGAGGAAAGAGAGAATGCAATGTTGTATCAGCCATTGGCTGATTTGAGTATGGCACGCTGGTTCGAAGGAAAAAAAAAAAAGTGCTGAATATCACGAAACGCACGTGACGTTTTTTTTTTTTGTTCCCCTGCCATTCCTCCCTGCTTAGTTACCAGTGTTTTCACCGGGACGAGGAAAAAGAGAATGCAATTGCAGTGTGGTACAAATCTTTTTAACTCTGCACATTCTGGATGAGTTCTAAAAACTTTTGCGACGGTGAATTAGATAGGTAATAGCTCTTTGAGCGAATACATTCCAAAGCTACTTGAAAAAGTGTTGCAGGGCCCCTTTGAACAAAACTTGCAGAACTCGCGGGTGTCGGTAGAGGCATTCTATGCGAATAAAGCCGGCATTGCTCAAATACAGTTCTCAAAGACGTGCTGGTCACATATGTATTTGTATGCGCTTCTTTTCGGCAATTGATACGTTCTCAATCATTGCCTTATTGGCAATCGGCCATCTTTGCTATGGCAATTTGATTTCATAGAGATCATTTGGTATCTCATGCTGCTGCAACTTATTGTTGCCAGGATATGCATGCATGCCTGTCGTTGCTGATTGTAGCTACGGAACTGTTTTGCTACTAAGCGCTTGGATAGGGAAGGTCCGGTTCTAGTCTTGGAGGAAGGAAACAATTGGGAGGGTGAATTGTGCAATCTAATAGACTGACAGAAATGAAAGTGTAAATATAAAGGTTCGTTTTCTTTGCTAGACACGATAATAATGAAAACTAACACACAATAAGATCAAAGAAAGTATAAGGTACATCAGTAGAAGTAATTTTAATGTAAATGTGAAGAAACTAAAGTGGAAAAAGAAGATAACTTGCCACCGGCAGGATCCGAACCTTCGACCTTCGAATAATGCGTTCAATAGCACATGCCTGGCAACCATTCCTTGCCTCCATTTTCGTAATAGGTGAAGTGCTGCTTACTTCTGTTCATGACAGGGTAGTGATGATTGAGTGACAGCTAGCAAAGCGATCTAACACTGTACTGTGGATTCTCCTCCTGCAGGCATACAGTACAAATCCCAGGACGCTTAAGGTGATCACAACTGTTGGATGTGTCCTGGCAAGCCTTTTTCTTCTGGTGACCATCATACTACTTCACATACTAAGGTATGTAGTGCACATTCAAAAGTGCACACAGATGACTTCATAATGGAAACATGATAGTTTGATATTCAGCCACAGTAACTTGCAGGTGGCTATTGTACAAGTGCCTGCAGAACAGGCCACCCGTTTTACATACCAAACTATTTTTGCGAGAAATTCCCATTATTGCTGATTTTTCTTGAGTACTTCTTCGAATCTGTGCAATGACCAAACAAGACAAATTCAAATCAATACTTTTTGTTAAAGAACAGAGAGAAACACAACTAAGGATAAGAGAAAGCTGGCTCTTATAAAGCTTGCGCGAAATTTCACTTACGGCAGTGCAGTGCTAAATGCCACGACATTTCAGTATCACCTATTCATGAAAAGAACTAGACACACTGACCCTCTCAGAACATCATTCGAGAACTTGGGACCTATTAGCATGGACAGTTTGAACAATTCGATGTTGGCTTGTGAAACGTGTGGATGAGCTGAAGTGTTCTCGGGAGGGAAAAAAGTTCGTTTGTTAGTGGTTATGTGAGATGCAAAAAGAACTATCAGAAGCTTCTTTGTCTCCTTTCAGACCATTCTTGAGTATGTATACATGAAAAGGAAAAATAAAACCCACATTTCGCTACCAGTGGCTTAGGAGTGCTTTACCGATTTTCCTTTGTTACTTACAGTGTTGCCTTTCTTTTTTTCCCCTTTTCCCACAGCTTCAAAAAGAACGATCGGCTCTGGATTCACAGAAACCTCGCCCTGTGCCTGCTCATCTCTGAATTTGTCTTCATCGGTGGCATCAGCCAGACTCACCTGCCGGTCCTGTGCGGGGTCGTGGCTGGCCTCCTACACTATTTCCTGCTGGTCGCCTTCGCCTGGATGTTCCTCGAGGGGTTCCAGATCTACACAGTCCTCATGGAGCCCATGGACGGTCACCGGTCGCGCCTGTGGTGGTTCTGCAGCCTGGCATACATCGCACCCGCTGTCATAGTCTCCATCGCGGCTATCATCGATCCCTACAGCTTTGGCACCTCCAGCTACTGCTGGTTGGAGTCGCAAAACTACTTCATCTTCAGCTTCGTCGGGCCCTGCGTGGGTGTTGTCTTCGTAAGTGCTTGTGTTTACGATATTCTAGAATTGAAGTGCTCACGAGAAAAGAACGCACTTCGGTGTCTGAGCCTCGAAAGAATACCCTAATTACATTTTTTTTTTCAAGTTGTGTACCTTACATTGATCAAGGTCTATGCAATCAGCTTCTTTTTGAACCTCGATGCGGCCTTTAGAAAGACCGTGCAATCTCTTTATGCATTGAAAGTCCATGGGTGATAGATACCTTTAAAGTTCGGTCGACGACCTTAGCAATGAATCAATATGGTTTCTGTTTTTTAATACTGGGAATTTTAGTTGAATGACGCCTCATGCAAGCTCGTCAAAGTTGTGGAATTCATTTTCAAAGGAACGTCGTCCAAGGTAGCTTACAGATGTACTACAAGAACTGGCGGCAATGTAGCGTCATGAGTAATCAACAGCTAACATCTGACTGGCAATTTCTGCAAATGCTCAGAAAAAGTAACTTATCAATATTTGCAAGCAATCTTGTCATTTTCTCCCAGGGCTGTGTCATCTTCCTGTGCATCTCGGCCTGCGTGCTGTGTCACCAAGGGAGCACCACGACTGCTGTCAAGTGCAAGGAAGAAGCCAAGCTTCGCAGAGTTCGGTATGTTTCAGTCTTGTAGTACTATCAATCAATCAATCAGCCAATGAACCAGCGAATAAGTTTCTGCTAAACAAACAAACGGAATCTATCTGCAAAGCCACTTGTAAATGATCACAAAAAACTGGGATGCTCTGGAGGTCGCCCATTGTGAAATGTCATGATGGATGCGTGGAAACATACAGTACATCATACCTCTAATGTATGTAGTCGGATGAACACCATTCTCATCAATTTACTATAGTGAATCATAATTGTAAGGAATATGGATATTGTAAATTATATGTGCAAGAATTTGCAGTAATGTGCTTGCAAAGCATCTGTGTCATGGCCCACTGTATTGTCAGCTACCTCCTCACAATCTAAACAGCTCTTCATATGTGATCGCAAACACTTTTCAAAAAGTTTAACTTATTTTTCGTTCCTTTGTTACCTTCCAGAAGCGACATATGGTGGGCTGTCTTTCTGGTGACAATCATGTCTCTTGCCTGGGGCTCCGGTATCCTGTATGTTGTCAAGTACACAGCCATGTTTGCCTACTTGTTCTGCATCTTCAACAGCCTACAGGGCGCCTACGTTCTCTTCTTCTGCTGCTGGAAGAACGAAGTGGTAAGCAATGAAATCGACAACCCAGCCAGTTGGCTTGCATTCGTCGTCAATTTTATGCAGCATTGAGAAAAGCCGTGGACAGTGTTGAGGGATGAACGGCACATGCCCTGTCCTGGCTTCTGAACTTGTGCATGCCTAAGATTGAAAGATCCTAGGCACTCTTGCAACTAAATTTCCGATACAACGCATGTCTTCCTTATCACGCGCATGCTGCATCCACAACAGAGTTGAAGGATGAATGGGACCCAGGATGTCCTGGAGGCGTGACATGCGCATAATCAGGACCAATGCCCTTTCTGGACTAAAGTTGTGAGACTATGCATCTCCTTCTCATTCTGTTCATGCACATGTCCTGCCTCCAGGACAATGTTGAAAGATGAATGGGACACGTAATGTACTGATTGCAGGGCATGCATTCGAACGGGATGAACAGGACCTTTGTTTTCTCATTGTTGAGAGACTCTTAATGTCTTTTTCATTTCCTGTCGACGTTAATGTCGCGTCAACTAAACGTTGAAGTGGCACTATCTTTGCTCACATGCGAAGAGCGTATTTTGAGAACGTCGGGCATCTGCCACACTGAGCTATGAAAGAGGCATCACTGCTTCCAAATTGGAACACTAATGAAGATAGAAAAATCTCGCACTAGCAGATTAATTACCATGCAGACAGCTACCACTTTAGCTAGTCTTCCTCAAATAGAAGCTGGCTCCTGGTCGATACGATCTTCCAATTCACATACTCATTATTGAAAATCTTAACGATGCCCTATTTGCCCCGCCGCGGTGTTCTAGTAGCTAACGTACTCGGCTGCTGACCCGTAGGTCGCGGGATCGAATTTTGGCTGCATTTCCGATGTAGGCGGAAATGTTGTAAGCCCGTGTGCTCTTATTTGAGCGCACGTTAAAAAAGCCCAGGTAGTTAAAATTTCCGGAGCCCTCCACTGCGGCGTCTCTTATGATCATATGGTGGTTTTGGGATGTTCAACCCTACATAACAATCAATCAACGATGCCCTATTTGGGCCTGTGAAGCAAGGAATGCATCTTGGGGTCGACTGATAAACTATTTGTAGTCAAGTTTGATGCATTTATTGAGAGCATTAAAGAAAAGCGGCGTTTCAAAGTACAAGTATTAATGAAATTTCTGCTAAATAGACAGGGCTCCTATACTGATGTATCAAGTTGCAGTCTTTGAGCAAATCCTACCAAATTAGCAATACTTTTGCAATGTTTTTTTTTTAACTCTCCCTGGGAAAGTTAAAAAAAATACCTCCCAATATCTTTTACGCCTTCCGTAGTGAAGCATGAAGACAATTCTAGGCCCTTCTGGCCTCGTTTTATTCGTAGGAAAAAAGACGCTAAATGCTCACGTACTACGCTTTACATGCACGTGAAATAATAACCAGATATCCTTCATAGCCTGCAGTGCAGCTGCAGCTTGTCAAAGGGGTACTGACTCTGAAATTTTCAGTTGTTGCTTTTTGGCCTCGAATGAAAGGTCAAGCACTCCATGGCATAGAACATGTACGGCTGGGTGCGAATGGCCCCTGAAAAAGTAATTATTGTTTTTAAGCTAGTTTCAGTTTCTGCTGTACCCTCAACTCGCAACACGGTATGAGCTTTTCATCATGCGCTCGTACTAGATAGCTTGATGCTTCCACAGCTGCTCCATTCATCACTCTGTCAGTGACTCACAGGTGGCCATTTTGAATGTTTTTGGAGACATACAAGCACCCATTTTGAACGTTCTGATGCCTGACATCATTGCAAGCAGCCACGCTATTGCATGAAGTCACTAGAATTGACACTGATGCCTGACGCCACACTAGTGTTTATTTCAGTAGGTGCACCATGGCCATTAATATCATTGTAAAATTTCTTATCAGTATTTACTGGGGGTTGCACTTGTTCGAAACCGTCTCTGTATGCAGGAGGTTTGTATTGGCATAGTTGACTCTCCTTCCAAAATTCACGTCAGTACCCCTTTAAACCCTGTAAATGTATTTCACCCCAAAATGTGTGGCACTTCAATGGTGGCACAAGTCACGTACTGACCCTGCAACACCTCCTCATGGCAGGTGCAAGAAGAAGTGCAGCGGGTCTTGAAAAATGTTCCCTGGCTTCCCGAGTGCCTGCGACGTTCTTCCGGGAACGACGACAGCCCCCCGCCGCACGTGCTGTCCAACGGCACTGCAGCTCAGCTCAGTGTGGGTACCCCCCCCATACTACCCCCCTCTGTATCCTCTATTGCGCCAGGTATAGCACCGGCACTTTTGCACCACTTTATGCACTTTTTTTTTTAAACGTTTTGTTCGCCCGCTCTATTCCCCGCTCCTCGGTAGCTTATGCCTCTCCAGTAGAGTAAGCCCCCACCCTCTTTTTGCCTGCATATGTATGAAGCAGATAGTTTTTTTTTTTTGGTTGGTGATGATATGCGGTATGCTGTGGCTTTCTGTGCGTTTTGCTTGTAAACATAGCGTTTACCTTTACCTTGGAAGTGAAGACGGGATCGTGAAGGCGGGATCGTGAAGGCACCCAGGCAAGACATGGTTGAAGTGTGGTGTAGCCAATCCAGTTCGAAAAAGGAATACACTTAGAACCAACCACTTTCCTAAACATTGCTCGCATGAAGACATTACAAGTCCACATTTCTGTTTCTGCGGAGGTGCACAATTTTGTGCAGCTTAGGCAGACAGCACAGATAGTTTTGAAACATAGATTGCACAGACTAGATTGTTTTTAGAAGATATTTTGAGATCTTCTAGATCGGCAGCACATAAAACGTCCACTGGGCTAAGTTGTTTATGAGAAATGAGGAAAGAACAGAACTCTGAAAGATATTTGCTTTGGTATTTAAGTGGCAGAAACTGTAATATTGTCACATCGTAAAAATCAGTCAGTCAGGTCAGTAAGACCACTGGCTTACCGTGCAGACGTTGCAACATACCTTGGAGACTTGTCAAAGCTTATCTGTACATTCATGTTCATGGTAGCGTCATATTCGGAGTAAAATACATTTGGGCTGGCACAGTAGTTTATTGACCTTCACCGATATTGTAGTAAAAGGCACAGAATGAACTACCTTGGCAAGCCTCCAAATGAAGATTCACTTGCATTCATTCGTTTTAATATTGCCACTACGCTTACCATCTACCCAGCAACTTAGCCTTTTTGCAGTGTTTCATTTCTTCACTGGACAGTATTGCGACATTACCTAATATTTTTAGCGACATTAGTCATCTTATTCTAGTCATACGTACTAGAAATATACACTGTCTGGACATTCTGTGTATTCTTGGTTACGAAAACACTTTGGTTTATTCAGAGCTGTTGTGGCTTTTCTGTTTTTCCTTTGACATAGAGTAGAAAAATTAAAACACTTTCCATTCTGTAAACTAAAGCCTTAAGAGGGCAGGTGAAAATGCTTCACTTCCTCAGTCTCTTTTCTCTCTCGTTTCTTCTTGCAATGGGTTTTTCTTCATGGTATGCCAGTTCACTTCTTTAATCTCAAATCTGTTGAAGCTGTGCTCAAGGCGCAGGTAGCCACAGCAATAAACCTGCATACCGTTACCTTCCTTACATTCGTGCGATCACGTAGTTTCTATGTTCTTCTGGTGCTGGTGCATTGAAAGGGCTCGTTAGCATGCACTTTTTAGAAAATAGCTTTAACTAACACAGTACAAACTTGTCAAGACTACTCTGTACGTGGTAATAATACTCTTATTACTAATCCATGAGTTCTGCATGCTTGATGTTACCCTTATGCATACCCTCGCTGCTTTGACATTGTTTTCAAACTTGTATTTCAGGTTGTCCAGCAGTCTTGGAACTCACAGGACAAAAATTCTACAGTTACCCCAAAGTTCACCATACCAGGTGAGATACTTCTGGCAGATTGCTTGTATTAGCTGCTAGGTCATCATACAGACAATAAGTTTACGGGAAAATGTCATGGCTCACACATATTTTTTGTCATCTGCAATTCAAAACTAAAATGTACAGTGAGCACAAGTATGCAATAAAATTCCTTTTTTTGCATCTGGGTTTCTTGTATAGAAACAAAAACAGAAGGTTTAATGTTGTTAGGTGACTTGATTCATAATTTAATGCAAAGTAACATGTCAAGCATTGCAAATTCTACACCTTGACCATATTTTTGCTCCAACCATGCCAACATGCTTACCCACACCTGACTTCACCCAGATATGCAAACATCTTTGTGTATTTATTGGTGTGCAGAGAACAAAATGTGGATATATTACTTGAAATGGTTAGTATGCTTCACAAAATCCCTAAGTTACAAAAAAAGGCGCAAAGAGAAAGTATGCTTTTATTATATACCTCAAGCTGATCGGTTTTTACAGCATATGAGCAATTTCATTATGAACAGATTATCTTGCAAAATATTGCATAATTATAAAGGTAAAACGTTGTTGCATTGATAAAAATAAATGCGAAGAGCAAGATCTGCTGGAGCATAGTCAGTCTTCAAGCTAATTTAGCTCCTCACATGCTCATGAAGAGATGCGTTTTTTATGTTTCAGGTCACCAATCTATGGACAGAGTCAGCAACAACTGCAGCCTGGCAATCGCTTCTCCCGATGCTAGCAGCCACATACTGGAGCAAGGGCAGAACATCAATGCCCTCAGCCAAGTGTCTGGTGGCACCCTGCACCGAAGCTCACCAAGCAACAACATAAGTGGCATCAACAGCCCCGATCAGCTGCCCTCGCACCCCAACAAGCTCCAGCGTACACCAAGTCATCTGAAGAGCGGCCAAGCGGCCCAGAACGGACCCCATCACCGAACTTGGGCTCACAGCCGGAGGCCAGGACACTACTCGGATTCTTCGAGTGTCTACAGTGCGTTTGCGGACCACATCTATGAGTCCATCGACGGTGATGCCTCCTCGGTCGATCGACTGTCCGATGTCCCTCCGCCGCCCGCGCCTCCCCAGTCTGAGGCCTTCTACGGAGACATGTCCGACATGAGCCAGCACTCTTCGTCCAGCTATGGCTATGACCAGCGACCGCTACTCGTCGCGCCACTGCCGGGAAAGTACCAGGCTACACCCCTGGCGCACGTCATGCAGGGCTTCGCCAGGGACTATGCTTCGTCTTCGCCAGAAACGCCGCGCTATGGCACAGACCAGCAGCGGCATTATGGCTCTAGCCGTCGCAAGCATGACATCGTTGGTTTCAACGGGCCTCCCTACTCGCCAAAGATGCTGTACGAGGTGGCCCTGGCTCAGAGGCTTGAGGACGCCCCAACAAACTTCTCCTCGGACTCGGGCATGGTTGCCGATAGCGAGGACTGCTGGGGCACATCGCCGACTCTTCCGGACTTGTTGCATGGCCCCGTTGAGAGCAACCCTGTGGTGATGGCAGTGTTGGACGGTGAGAAAGTGGTGAGCAGGATTCGTCCAGACGCAGTGATGACGGGACCTTCGGATCCGAGATTGCAGCAGCAACAGCCACAGCATCCGCAGCGATACAACCTCAGCACGTACTGCTAACCGAAGTGGTGTGTGTGTGATATGCATGTGCAGATAGGCAGTGCGAATTTTTTTTTTTTTTTTTTGCCGAGTTTGAAATTCTTGTCGCATAGGACTTTTAAGAAGCAATCGTGTACTTAATGGAGGGGGCTGGCACTTGTGAGGGACAAACTGTGTGTGTTCCCCAGTCCATGTACCCGTCCACAAGTCGACTCTTCAGTGTCTCGAGAGAAGACGGGGAGAGACCGGTTCTGTGAATCCTAGGCATCTAGTCGTCGAATACAAGAGTGAAGGGAGGAGTGCTAGTCGCTGGCGAGAGCAGAATTGGTGCAGCCATTCTTGCTCGCCGCCCGTGATCGGAGCTAGGGCACGGATGTCTCTCGACTACTTTAGTTCAAAGAAGAAAATGACGAGAGACTGAGTGGTGCTTTTTGCTATGAAGCCAGGTCAAATCGACGGCTTTGTACATTTATTTTAATTATTTGCTGTAAGTACAATGTAAATCTAGGCTTTTTTCACGTATTTAAACGTCCTTGTTTTGTGTTGTGTACTTTTTTTTATTCCTCTAGGAAAACATTGCAAGTGAACCCAGGCCAAGGCTCTTTTTTTTTGCTGTTGTTGATGTTCTGTAAATAAGGCGTGTGAGAGCTATTTTCGCAGTTTCATAAGTCACCCGCTTCTACAAGAAAAGCGTCACCAAATCACTGACAGTGTTGTACATAGTGTAACGGCTGAAGCATTGGTCGCACACTCTATTTTCTTGCTGCCACTTTTTGCGCATGCATGTCTGGCTTGCAACGCGTGACCTGCCCAACTTAACTATTGCCGGTGTCATATGAGATGCATTTCTGGAAGCACAAAGGCCAAGTGAAATAAAGGGAAAACAGATTGCTTGGCTGAAGCAGCATTCACATCATCTTTGATCATCAAAGTGTGCTGTCACCTATTGCATCTTGAATAGTGCTCCCATTGAAACATTCCTGTAACCCCCTTAAATTTGAAGTACACTAGCTATCTACAGCAGCTTTTGTCTCGGAATATCAATTCAACATATTTTCGGTATGAGCCTGCACAGATGTTTGCTGCTGTTCTGTGATCCCAATCATTGCCTAAGTTATTTGGAGAAAAAAACATTTTGTGTCTCTGCATTAAGGAGAGGTATTTCTCGAATGATCCAAGACTGCCAGAAGCTGTTGTCAATTTAAGACAGAAGTTTTTGTGTTGACCTCGTGTCTCAAACTGATAGAGGACACACTGTTGGCAGTACGAGAGGCTAAGTGAAGTCGAAAGGTCTGTTGCCTTTCTAGCACTTGTTGTACAGAAGTGTGCCAAATAAAAATAATGTTTAAAATCTTGCAAACTTGTGTGCAAGTGTTCACTTGATTGGGCTGAACAGGTTGTACTTGGGACATTAGTTACCTACTAGTAGTAGGAAGCAAATCAATCTTGTTGGCCTGTTGGGAAATTTCAAGAAATTGGAAGATTGAAATTTTGCAAAGACCCTACCCTTTAGAAAAGAGAGAGAGATAAAGATGCAAGGAAAGGCAGGGAGGTTAACCAGACACGCATCCCGTTTGCTACCCTGCACTGGGAAGGGATGAAGGGGAGAAAAGAGGTTGCAGAGAAATAAGAAAGGTACACACAATCACGAGCACAGTCCGGGGGAGCACACACAGTCTACAGGCGGTCGCTCAGGTTTGTTGTCTTCAAGTAATGTACGAGTGCTTTAGTCGCTTTCTGCGCAGTTGAGGCAGACGCCCAAGGTCCCAGAATCTTCTGCACAGAAAATGGTCTAGAGTTCAGTTGGTTCAAAACCATCCGGAGCTGTGTGTCGTAGCAAGTGCTGCTGCACAGGACGTCTTTGATGGGCTCTTCAGTTCCGCAGGAGTCTCATGTAGAGGTGTCTGCCATACCGATGCGAAAGGAGTACACATTTGTGAATGCAACACCCAACCAAAGGCGGCATAAAAGTGTGGCATCGGAGCGGGAAAGTTGTGATGGTATATCTTGAGCAAAGGATCCAGTTTATATAAGTGACACCTTTGGAAGTAGGTACACGACCAGAATGTGCACGTAAGATCTCTAGCAAGCAAGTGAAGTTGTCTTGCCGCATCAGTCCTTGATAAAGAAATCGGGACCACACGTGTTCCTTCATGGACTGAGCGGGCTGCATCATGGGCTAATTGATTTCCAGTAATACAGGTATGTCGAGGCAGTCATTGATATATAATATCGTGTCCTCGTGCTAGCGATTCATGGTGGCAATGTCTTATTTCTTGTAGCGATTATTCACGATTCCTCTTACACATGGCAAATTGCAAACTCTGAAGTGCTGCCTTGCAATCACAGAATATGACACATCTTCCTGGACGCTCTTGAACGAGATATTGTAAAGCGGCTCTTATAGCAGCAAGCTCTGATGCCGTAGACGTAGTGGTATGCGACAACTTAAATTTGATTATCATTGCTGCAGCCGGAATTACAGCGGCACCTGATGAGCTGCTGGACGAGACCGATCCATCAGTGTATATCTGCGTTCGGTTCAAGTACTACTCTTTAGAAAATGAAAAATGATCAAATTTTGTCAACACTAGGATATTCAAAAAAACAACCCACAAAAACGAAGTTTTCCGACGACTAAATACTTCCCCCTAAAATCAAGGAGGCAAAAAAATGCCAGGCCTGCGTGGAAGGCGCAGCACAGTCACAGCAAAAGCTAGAAAAGCTGCCTCTCGGAGCCCTTCAAAACACTCCTTGGGTAACTACTACAAGCACACTTGCTTCATACCCACTAGTGCATTGATAATAAATTTTTTTGGGTAGTAGGCCGGCATTTGCTGTGCTACTGTTAATCATTCTTCTGAGAAGCGTGGTATCCACTGAACATTTGCGAAGAATTTTGTGCCAATGGTTCATGTAGTGGCTGACCACGATAAGTAATTAAACAAAAGATTGGGCTTATCAAGGCTGATAAGACCATCCCCACTTTCCATTTGTTTTCCGCTTGCCGTAGTGACGCCACCTATAGCCACCAAAGGCCATAGCCATCATAGTGATAGTACTTACCATTAAGGCTAGGTGGTGCTACTTGCCGCCTGATCCAGAGGTTTCAGTGGGCGCTTCCATCGATCCGACCTGCCACTTCGGATGGATGGATGGATGGATGGATGGATATGGCTGTACCCTTTAGATCGGGCGGTGGCTAGCGCCACCAAGCCGTAATACTTAATGAAAAAAAACTATTTTTTTTCCTTAAAAAGTGAGTTTGAGGATTCGTATTTTGCAGTGAAGAGTTCAATTTTCACTCGTGTCTTGACTTTAGCCACCAATCACATAACCTCCTTCTAGTTAAGTCTACCCGCTTAAAGTCTATTTTGCCCTCCCGGTCCCTAAACCCCAGTGCTTTGAAAAACTCTGCGCCATCATCCTGAACTATAGGGTGAAGCCCTTTACACAACATTATCAAGTGTTCGGCAGTTTCTTCTTCCTCTCCACACGCACTGCATAATGTGTCTACCCCTTCGTATTTGGCCCGATATGTCTTGGTTCGCAGTACTCCCGTCCTGGCCTCAAACAGTAAAGAACTACCCCGAGTATTATCACAGATCCTTTCCTTGGCAATTTCCTGCTTAAAAGTTCGATAGATCTCTAGTGCGGACTTCTTAATCATGCCCATTCTCCACATGTCAGTCTCCGTTTCCTTCACTTTCTTCTTAACCGATAGTTCTTTTTGGTTTGGCCACCTGCTGTTTTCTAAGTATTTACCAGTCAACTTCCTGGTTCGCTTCCTCCATTTTGTATCGACATTCTTCATGTACAAGTAGCTGAAAACCTTCCTAGCCCAACGCTCCTCCCCCATTTCTCTCAATCACTTCTCAAATTTTATCTTGCTGCTAGCTTCCCTGCCCTCAAATGATGTCCATCCCATATCACCTTGTACTCCCTGATTTGGTGTATTCCCGTGAGCTCCTAAAGCAAGCCTACCTATTCCACGTTGCTTAATTTCTAATCTTGCTTGAACTTCTGATCTCATGCACAAGACCGCATTGCCGAACGTCAGCCCAGGAACCATGACCCCTTTCCATATTCCTCTCACAACATCATACCTAATGTAATTCCACAGTGCCCTATTTTTCATCAGTGCTGCATTCCTGTTACCTTTAGTCGTCACGTATATTTCGTGTTCCCTCAGGTACTCGGTCCCATTGCTTATCCATACGCCCAGATATTTGTATTTATCTGTTATCTCTAGCATGACCTCCTGTATTCTAAGCTCACTACCTTCGTTGTCATTGAAAATCATGACTGCTGATTTTTCCTTACTGAATCTAAAATCTAACCTATCTCCCTCATTACCGCAGATGTCCATCAATCTCTCAAATCTTCCTTGTTGTTGGCCACTAGCACTATATCATCTGCGTACATTAATGCTGGTAGTGCCTGATTAATAAGTTTTCCTTGTTTGACTAAAGAGAGGTTGAAGCCCAGCCCACTTCCCTCTAATTTTGCCTCTAATCCTTGTAGGTACATCATGAATAATAAGGGTGACAGGGGGCACCCCTGCCTAAGCCCCCGTTTTACCTCTGCAGGCTTGGATACCCGTGTTTCCCACTTTATAACTACCTTGTTACCTTTATAGATACCCTTTAAAAGATTAGTGACCACATGTTCCACGCCTAGTGTGTCCAGTATTCCCCACAATTCCTCTTGAACCACGCTATCGTAGGCTCCCTTGATATCCAAAAATGCTAGCCACAGGGGCCTGTGTTCCTTTTCTGCTATTTCGATGCACTGCGTCAGTGAGAACAGATTGTCTTCCAAGCTCCTGTGTTTCCGAAACCCATTCTGCAGTTCCCCAGCACCCCCTCATCCTCTATCCATGCCTGCAGTCTTTCCTTTATAATCTGCATCGCCAGCCTGTAGACCACTGATGTCACTGTTATAGGACGGTAGTTGTTTATGTCAGCTTTGTACCCCTTTCCTTTATAGATCAGTAGGGTTGAGAGCTGGGCTAGTTGGTGAGACATCATTTAACCATATGGCGTAGTACCGCAATTTTCACGGGGACAAAGAGAACAAGAACACACGACACTCGCTACACTCGCAACTAATTTTATTTCAGAAGCAGCACATCATATATAACCCATAACCCTAGCGACACAGAAAAGAACTACGAACATTGAATCATTGCCAACAGAAGCTTTTGCGCAGACTCAAGCGATAGTACACGGCAGTTACGCTTACACTTTAAGATGACATAACTAAAAACAGCCCTGGGTAACATCAAATAAAAAAAAACAAAAAAAAATTGCGGGAATTCACACGTGTTTGAAACAACATTTTGAAACGACAAAAAGGAGAGTATGACACATGCAAACACTGATCTCAATTAAGTCCTTCGAGGTAGCTGGCTTCTCGGTCACTTAACGAAACCGATGACTGACTAATGCATCCTTCTTTTCTTTTTTTAATGTGGAAGGCTTCGACAATTTCTCTGCTTAGTTGGTTTTCATGACGGAAGACTACGGTCGTGTCACTGAACAGTGGTGAGCAGCCACACTGGGAACAGTGTCTCTTTATGTGAGAATGAATGTCAGTTCTTAATGATCGCTTGTGTTCTAAAAGTCGGGTGTTCAAACATCGACCCGTCTGGCCGATGTATACCTTTCCACACGTTAGCGGCAAGCAATACACGACTGATAGGCTACACTTATAGATCATGCTCATCCTGCTAAGTTTCCATCCATCGGGAACTTCACCATCGATTATTATTTTGCTCACTGCCTCTCTCAAAGCCTGCTTAGACTTCGGACCTAATGTCTTTATCTGCCTAATTGGACTGCCATCTGGGCCTGTTGCAAACATTGCATTTATTCGGTATGTATCGAACCAAGAAGCCTAACTGAGTACGCAGTTAGCTCCATCAACGCTTGGTGTGCCCTAAGACAAAAGATTGGGCTTATCGAGGCTGATAAGACCATCACCACTTTCCATTTGTTTTCCGCTTGCCGTAGTGACGCCACCTATACCCACCAAAGGCCATAGCCATCAAAGTGATAGTACTTAACATTTTGGCTAGGTGGCGCTTCTGACCGCCTGATGTAAAGGTTTCAGCGGGCCCTTCCATCGATCACACCTGCCACTTCGGTGGCTCTACCTAGCGCCACCAACGGTGCAAGGTGGAACGAAAGCAGGGACACTCGCTCTCAAGGAGCACCGCCATCTGGACAGGTCAGGAGTACAAGTAGGGCGTATTTATGGAAACGATCACGAACATTGGTGGGCTCATATTGCCGGAAACACCAGGAAAAGGGAGACATAGAGGTTTGTTTGAATTAAAATACTACGCTCGTTATCGCA